GAAATTCGATTAATCTCCTACTGTATCCCATTAAGCTTGTTGTAGCCAGCTTTTTCTTGTTTCCAAGTCTTAGTTGAAAGAAAGAACCTACTGAAAGGTCTTTGCTATTGATGGCCTTGGCAACCATTGATTGTTGAATGGGAAAAGGGTTAAAAATGCCCTCAACGCATGGAAAATAGATAAAAAATGCCCTCCTTCCACCTATTAGATCAAAAATGCCCTTGAGGTTATTTTTAAAGTTAAAAATGCCCTTCTTTAACAGAATTTTGACATGACATAAATGAATTTTTAAATTAAACACATGTCATAAAAGTATTGGTCCACGTAATTTTTTATCCAACTCAAAGAATTTGATCGATGATTGCATTGGACTTCCATCTTCCTGTTTCTTATTATTGAGGAACAAGTGCTCACTTCCACCAAAAACTTGATTGCATCCCAATGTGCCACCAGTAACCTTCGTCTGCACATGGTGACAATCCCCGCAGTGGAACCATCGATTGATATTCGTGACCACGGTCCGTCCGACTGTCCTACGAAGGTCTAGTTTTCTTGATCAATCATATATGAGTACGCAACAAGAATTTTATACGATCCAGGATTAAATCCAAACCACAACAACAATGTTCCCAATAGATTTCAGTCTTTGACGCTCAATCAAAGCAACTGTGGTGAAATCCGTTCAATAAATTAAGTAGATTTGGAAAAAAAAAATTAGTTGGGTTATATCAAAAAAGGTAGTACAGTTCCATTGAGTTGGGTCAAAAGTTCATGTGGACCAATACTTTAACGCCACGTGTTTAATTTGTAAATTTATTTATGTCATATTATAATTCTGTTAAAGAAGAGCATTTTTAACCTTAAAAATAACCTTAAGGGCATTTTTGATCTAATAGGTGGAAGGATGGCATTTTTGATCTATTTTCGATACGCTGAGGGCATTTTTAACCCTTTCCCCTTGTTGAATTGGCTGGCGCTACTAGTTTGTGTTATAAAATCTTCTATTGATCTAATGTTGGTTTTTCACTTTGTTTCTTTTCCTCAATGATGCATTCATACCTGGAATGCCTCTGATGTGTTTTTTCCCCAATATTCTTCCAGAGAAAACAAGAATCTGACCGGCACAGCTCGTTATGCCAGTGTCAACACACACCTTGGAGTTGGTAGGTGTATATCATTTAGGTTGTCAAATTAACCTGGGGACTACTGAAGATCTAGAGTCATTTCTAACTCATAATTTGTTTTCTTTTCCTGGCCAGAGCAAAGCAGGAGAGATGATTTGGAATCTCTTGGCTATGTGCTTATGTATTTTCTTAGAGGAAGGTAATTTTACCTTTTCGTTTTGGCATCTTTCTGTGGCTTCCTGATGTAAATTGTAGAGTTGTTTGCTGACCTGGTGACACCTTCTTGGTTCAGCCTTCCATGGCAGGGTCTGAAAGCTGGTACCAAAAAACAGAAATATGATAAAATCAGTGAGAAGAAGATGTTAACTCCAATAGAGGTACTTGTTATGATCATCAAAGCATCTTAGTTATGTGACACCATCATCACCTTTTTTGAATTATGAAAGCATCTATCATGACACCCCCAGCCATCCTTGTGTCATTTTATCTTGTCAAGCTATGATAGAAATTCTTCACTTCAACCTGGTTTCTGTTTGAAGTAGATATCACTCAATGTATTGATCCTGGCTATCCTAATATATCTTGAGCTGGTTTTGGATGAAATATGGCCTTAGTTTAGGCTGTTCACCTGTTGATTGCATTATCTGCTAGCGATATGAATCATCTGATGAGGCAATTCACACATGATTCAATTTCTGTAACAGGTGCTATGCAAATCCTATCCTTCAGAATTTACATCATACTTCCACTATTGTCGATCGTTACGGTTTGAAGATAAGCCTGACTATTCATACTTGAAGAGGCTGTTCAGAGATTTGTTTATTCGTGAAGGTAAATAATACTTCTTCTGTCCCAATTTATGTGGCGGTATTTAACTGGGCACGAAGTTTAAAAAAGTAAAGGAAGTTTTTAAAAAAATTGTGGTCTAATACAAGACAAACATTTTGTGGCTGTAGTCCCTCTCATTAAGGATAAAATGGAAAATTTAAAGTTAAATTGTTTGTAAATAAAGAATTATAACATTCTTTTGGGACAGTCTAAAAAGTACAAAATGAGTACTCCGCTTTTTACATATATTTGGGTCCAAAAGTTGTCTAATTGTAACTACTCAATTCTTGTCCTTATAGATGTGTATTTTAGTCTCTTAATCTTAATCTATGACATTACACAGGTTATCAATTTGACTATGTTTTTGACTGGACCATTTTGAAGTATCCTCAGATCGGTGCCAGTTCTAGAGGACGGGTTAGTGCTGCTCAAACGTTCCTTCGGATTATTACTTTTCACTCTACTTGGTTATTATGAACGATACTAGTGCATTTTCTTGCTTCCAGCTTCCTGGTGGAAGTGCCGGACTAAATGCTGGGCCATCTGCTGAAAGACCAGGACGGACATCAGGTATTATAGCTGAACAGAAGTAGGATATTCTCAAAAGTTACACTCTTTACTTTTAGTAGTTCCATTAATTAATTAAAGATAAATTTCAATAGGTTGGTTAGTACCTTTTGGTCTTTAGTTATTTCGTGAGTGAAGACCCAAAAACACACCTAAAAGTATTCCCTTTTTTCGAGTTTCATACCTGAACTATCAGGTTTGCTCGCACAAGTTTCCTACCTGAACTATCACCAACCATTCATCAAAACACACCTTAACTATCAATTGCTCCGTTTTCCTCCCTAAATGATGGTGATGTTTCACGTAGGAAAAGAGAAATCTGATAGTTGAGGTGTGATTTGATAAATAGTTGGTTAGTTCAGGTAGGAGAGTATAGTTCAAATTGAAAAACCGTGATATGTTAGGTGTTTTTAGCCTTTTAGCTCTTATTTCGTTAAGATAAGGTTCAGAAACTATATCCTATCTATGAGTTCTTGTTCAAAATTTTGCATATTGTATAACCTGGAACATGTGTTCCTTGCTTCATGAATTATAAGTTTTCTGCCCCTTGCTGGAACTTCTGATTTTCTATGATGCTTCATGAATATTATATGTGAGCTTCTCATGCTAAAGTTGAACAACATTACTGCTGCTTCTGCCAATTTATCATTGATTGACACTTGACAAAAAATTTATAATTCTGTAATCCAGTCGGACAAGATATTCGAGACAGATTTTCTGGTGCTGTTGAAGCATTTTCTAGAAGGAATGCTTCTGGTACGGGAAAGCATGGGGAACACTCCAGACAAAAGACTTCAGAGGACATGACTTCATCTAAAGATGTGGTAATCATTCCCTATTTTCTAAGAAAGAAAAAGATCCATTTCTTTCAATTCCATTCAGAGTTGGGGCTGTTTTAGCTGCCTTCTATGTTCTTGCATAATGTGGTAACTTGCCAATCTTTGTATTTTTTTAAAAAGTAGTAACCACTAACTACTAGCTAGCTATCTGCTTAGAACTTTTTCATTTATAGGTGTGTATTAACCCTATCTTCTAAAATAATAGTAGAATAACTATACCTCAATCCTGAACAAAAATTGTTGTGGAAGAGAAACTAAATTTATTAACTCATTGTAATATGTTACTTGTCTCCTTGCGCCCCATACAAGTCACGGGTTCGAGGTGTGGAATCAGCCACTGATGCTTGCATCAAGGTAGGCGGGTAACTGGCTACATTACACTCTTGGGGTGTAGCCCTTCTTCGGATCCATCATAAACATGGGATGTTTCTTTCACTGCGCTGCCTTTCTTTGAAATAGATGTATATATATATTTCTTTCATGGTATGAGCATCCAAAAAAACTGGCATTAGCCAGGGTGGAGCTAGAGGTATTGAGGGGGGTTCAATTGAATCTTCCTCGTAAAAAATCGTACTGTGTTCTAGTTCCCCCTTGACATAAGGAAAGCTTCTTGTGTAGTAGCATAGGTGGCAAAATATTCCATTGCTTTAGGTCGTAGGTTCGCAGGTGTTGTGTTTTTGCATGCTTTTAGTCCCCTTATTTGATTTTCCTAGTTCCGCCTTTGCATTTCGCTGTCTGGATTTTATGCTTTGCCTAAGTAGTACTATCAATAAAATCTTCTTGTATGTTGCAGCAAGCTGATTCAGAAAGAGGCCGTACTTTGAGAAACGGAAGCTCTTCAAAAAGGGCTGCCATTTCTAGCAGTAGACCAAGCTCTTCTGGTGATCCCACCATCACTGATAGTCGATCGAGCAGACTAGTGTCAAGCAATGGGCGTGTGTCTACCACACACAGAATTCATTCAGGTATCGAACCAAAACCATCACCATTCTCACGTAAGGGGACACGTGATGACCCTCTTCGGAGCTTCGAGTTTCTTTCAATCCGAAAGTAGAAAAAAAGCATGTCACTTGTATAAAGAGAGAATTTCCTGTTTGTTTTGGAACATTCCAATCCTTTTAAAGTGTTGTATATTGGAAATGTTTCTATGTGACAACTAAAGCTTATCCCAAACTTCCAATTGCTCCTTGTTTTGGTTTTGATTTTAGAGCTTGAGTTCTGGCCATCTGTAAAAACCTTTCGACTCATCCAAAGAATTGATGAGCAAGAAGTGCTAGAGTTTCATACATGTACACTCAGATGGTATGTATTATGTAATAAATATTACTATTGTACCAATGAATATTATCTTTTTTTTTAAGTATTAGGATGAACCTTTTATCAAACAGTGGTGTTTGGACGAATATACAAATATTTCAAATATCTCACCGAATACTTGTTATCTTTCATCAGCATACATATATTCCATCTTGAATTTTCGGTTCTACCCTTTTCCCGAACAGAAACTGTATAGACCAGTTATTGTAAAGGAGTACACTGAGCTTGTTATCAGCGGTGGAGCCATGATTTTCACTGAAAGAGTTCCAAGCACACAAAAAAGTTGAAGCGATAACATCTACTATATATACATAACAATAACTTCTACTTATAAACAAGATAATTTTTCATTGAAAGGGGATTCGGATGAACTCCATCAATTCTCAAACGCGCTGGCTTGATCCTTTGGCTTGATACTACAAAATAAAGTCTTCAAACATCTGTTATACATCTAATGATTTGGTGTGAATATCGAATATGAGTAATTTTAGTGTAGAGTAGTTGACTATTACCATTACAATAGGTTGACAACCAATTTCAACAAGACAAGGCTAAAGCAAACATCTATCTACCAAAATTTGTTTAGCTTAGGTAACATTTACCCTGAATATTCTCACACAATGATCAGCTCCACAGGAGGCAAGCTGCACGGTCTCAGAATCTTCGCTCTTCTGAGGATTTCTCCAAGATAGTCGTTGAACAGTAGAGACGTGGCATAGAAATGGATCAAACTTGACAGCGGGAGAAGCATTTTGGACTGATAAATGCCCATCTCCTCCTCTGCTATCCAGATTCCATAGTTCAATCAAGCCATTTTCCATTCCCACTGCAAGAAGCCCATGATTGCTATGGTTATCGAGACTTAACCAAGACAGGGCAGTGACGCTGCTTTTGAAAGGTGGAAGTGTCAACAGTAGCTTCACCGAGGTTTCAGTTCCCACGGCCCATATTTTGACAGTTTTGTCCCTTGAACCAGTAGCAAATTCATGACCAAATGGGTTCCAAGAACATGACCATATTATTCTTTTATGTGCTTCTTGCTTAGCTACGAGCTGGTAATCGATCTCATCAGTTCCTGTAGAACACAAAGACGAGTTTGAGCACATGGCAAAATAAAAACTTGAACAAAAAAGTTTGATCATAAGCTAAATAATCTCCTAGCTTTTAAACTTCTCTACAGATTTTCAGATAGAGGCAAAGCCAATAAGTATCAAACCTTTATGATTAATTTGAAAAACAGAGAAGTGGCGATCTCTTGAAACAGCCAAGAGATACTTGTTATCATGAGAGAACTCCATTTGGGTCACTGTTAAACTGTGAGACCGTAAACGACCAACGGATTTCCAAGAACCAACTTGCCAAAGCCATATTTCAGCAACCGGTGCTGATTGTGCCTGCAGGATTGTATCACTGGCATAATTAGTATTCACAATTAATTAAGAAAACTACATACCCAGTGTAATCCCTTACAAAGTGGGGTCTAGGAAAGGTAGAGTGTACGCATACCTTACCCCTACCTTGAAGGTAGAGAGGCTGTTTTGGATAGCTACAATTAATTAAGAAATTAAAGAATATTTTTAAAATAAAAGAACACCATTAGAAGTTGAAAGGAGTATCTAGAAGAACATTCTGAATTCCGTCAAGTGTTGCTGTAGTTCACAAAGGTCTCTAACAACGTAAAGAAGTTTCCTAAGGTAATGAGCATCACCAGTAACTTGAAAAAAATGAGCAGATTGACACTTTATTTCTCATAAGAGTACAAACACCGGAGGATCAAACCCAGCTACTCCTCGATTAGCCCCACACCAGTAAAACAGAGGCTTATCATGGTCAAGATATTGAAGAAAATTAACATCATATATAGACCGGAGTAGCATTCTTTTAACTTTTAAATTGAAGCATATTAAGACCAGAAACCAAAAACCAACTTTATCAGGGCACTTACAAAAGTATAACCAAGTTGATTCTATAACAAGAGACTCGAGCAAAGTTTATGACAAGGAAAAACCATGTGTCCATGTGTTACCCAAAAAGAAGCGAAAAGAAACAAAAGGAAAGGATGCTAAACCTTGCAGGATGAAGCTACAAGCTTTCCATCATGATCACAACATAGAGAAAAAAGCTCATTCCCATGACCATAAAGTTTGTGTGATTCAGGCCATAGAGTATGCCATGCCAATTGCTCTTCAATAGGTGGCTCTGTCAAGACAACTGGAACTGCTTCAGGAACAGTTTCTAGAGTATCAAAACCTTCCGTATTGCTTCTGTCTATTGGTGTCGATGCTGTTGCAAATGATAGATTTAGGTGTATCAGATATATAAAAATATAAGGGTCTTCGCAGGAACCATTCAGATTAATCTCTATTTGTATTAGAACACTGTGTATGAGATCATCACAGCTCTTTAAGCAAAGTTGAAAAAGACTCATTTAGATATCAAATTAAGCCTAACAATATGTGGTTAACAGAAGGTCCTTACAGTTAATTTCGACAGGTCAACGACTCAGTTATATATCACCTTGTAACATCAAGTGATGATGGAAAAATAAATGAATATCTTTTATGTTAATATGCAAATATGATATCATACAGTAGACTAGAAAACTCACCCTGAACATAAATAGGTTTCTGTGATAGACCTAAAGCAGACATATTTGCCCCTAATATCTGCACATCAGCTTGAATGTCGGCAGAAAAACTAGAGTTGTCTGATGTTACATGGCTCAGCGTCTTCAGAAAGGATAGAGGAGATTCAAAAACTCTTGCAACTTTCTCGTCTGCACCGCCAACAAAACGATGATTTCCTTTTCCTTTGATTACTGTGACACAATTTATGTCATGACCATGAACTTGAGGGCGAGCAATTTCATGCCAGGATTCCTCATTCTGTACGCTTGTATTGTTGAGCCAAGGAGCAAATACTCTAGTTGTCTGCCAAAGAATAAAGATTGAGCCCAGAAGTTCGATAATTTATTCATTAGAAGAGAAAGTAAGAAATAGGGAATAAAATCCATGGGTACTTGACCAGGTATGCAGAAGAAGAGAAAGCAAGAGATAAAATGCATGGATAGTTGACCATTATGAACCCCATTTCAAGACTAAGCATGTTACATATTTCCAAAAGCTGGAAAAATTGAAGTTCAAAAAGAAAATCAGTATTTGAAAGAAGACTATCTACATGGGAAGCACAGTATTTGTCTCGAGGTGGAAGATTGACCCTGATCAACTCGAGGTTAGATGCTTTGCCAATATATTTGATGTCAGTTTTTCCTCTCCCCCCTAAGGTGGAGGAAAGAATCGATGCATTAAGGAGGAATTTTTTGTGGAATGGAGAGAGAATACAAAGGATTTCATTTGGTCAATGGAAGACTGTAATCCTTTCAAAGAAACAAGGTGGGTTAGGCATTAGAAACTTGAAGAAACAGAACAAAGCCTTATGAAGAAGTGGCTGTGGAGATTTCCCAAAGAGGAGCAAGCCCTTTGGGTTAGAGTGATTCAGGCCAAGTATGACAAGATAGATCACTGGAAAACTAAGGAAGTGACTTCTGCATATGGTATTAGTCTATGGAGATCAATTAGAAATTTGTGGGATTGTTTCTTCCAAAGAACTAGATTCAATGTAAACAATAGAAGAAAGATTTTGTTTTGGGACGATAATTGGTTTGGAACTGGCAGCCTCAAGCAGCTCTTTCCAGACATCTATCTGTTGAATCAGCAACATGAGGCCACTGTGCAAGAGGTTTGGTCCATTCGTGGATGGAACTTAACATATAGAAGAATGATACAAGACTGGGAGGTGGATAGACCAGCTGAATTTTATGGCACCCTGGACCATTTTCGAGGATTTAAAGAGGGAGAAGACACTCTTAGGTGGATTCATCATAGCAAAGGTGTCTTCACAGTCAGCTCTGCCTACAAGAACCTGAATCAAATGGGGCTCAACTCAGATTTTTGCCTTGGAAGCTTATCTGGAAAGTCAAAATTCCATATAAGGTGGTAGTTTTACTTGGTTGGTAGTTTAAGAGGCGGTACTAACCCAGGAAAATCTAATGAAGAGGGGAAAACATATGTGTCCTAGATGTTTTTTTTGTGAGCAACAGGCAGAGACAATCAACCATCTGTTTCTTCAATGCAAGGTGGTTAGACAAATGTGGCACTTATTTACCAGATTCAGGGGCACAAACTGGACCATGCCACAAAGGACAAGTCAGGCTATAGAGAGCTGGAACAATGAAGGCAGTGGTAGTACAGACCAAAGCAGATGGAGAGTTGTCCCAGCAGTGATTTGGTGGACCATATGGAAGGAGAGAAATATGAGATGCTTTGAGAGTGTTAGTAGTCCTTTACATAGGATTAAAATGAACTGCACAATCACTTTTTGCTATTGGTGCAGTTTGGAGTATGTAGATGATCCTATAGCTGTTAGAGATATCCTAGGTACTTTGTAAGATGAAGTAGGATCTAGTTTAGTTTTATTTTAAGTCAATGCAACTGTATGTCACTCCATGATGTAAATTTGGGACCCCAGCCTTTAGTGCTCAAGATTAATACACAAACTGTTACCGTTGTCAAAAATAAAAATAAAAAAATCAGTAACTTGACAAAGCAGTAATATTTCCTACTAGAGTCCTTCCAAAATCTTACTTCATTGACTCATATAATTTGAACATAACAGAGAAGGAAAAAAAAACAACTTGTTGAGAAGGATAACCAAAACCAACGAACAGATTCAGAGAACTTGTTCACCGTAATTGTTTGCTGATTAGATATCAACCTACAGCTTAAGGACATATATAAAGTTTCCACAGCGATGAAGTCACGGTGGTGCATAGCAGTGAGCCTACAGCATAATTGGCATAGTGGATAACTCTCAAATTTTAAGCATAGTCCATCGCTCAAAGTTCATCAGGTAAACAAAAACAATGTCTGATCTAGCTATAGAAGATGTTACAGGCAAAACAAAAATGCATGGGGTCCCAAACAGCTTTTAGTGACAATTCTCATGAGTACACTAACACAAAGAAGTGATACTTCATCTTAAAGTATCCACAGTACACCTTTGCTAGTAATGTTTAAGAACACCATCCCTAGAATGAAGCGGACAACATGCTTTGTGCAATAAGAAATGGACTAGTCTTTCACTTGCTGATTTATTTGTATTTCTCCTAATTGCAGCAGCGACAAAATCAATTGGACTAATATCACCTCTCACGATTTTGCATCCTAGTAAGATTAGCTTTTCTACAACTTAGACACTTCGTCGCATGGAGGAAATAGAAAAAATATATTAGAGATGCTAAGGGTACTTGAGAAATGAATTAATAATCTATACCGAGATAAAGTAGCTGCAAATATTATTTCGGTACATGAACCAGAATGGTTGACACATTCAGCAACAAGAAGATGGAAAAAGTTGGGTTAGTTAAGACATCACAAGAAGTCAATTAAGAGGCTTAACATAACACCCATGACTGCCACAACCGGGAGCCATAAGCCAAATAGGTGCATTATGTGTAGGACGAGACACGAGTAATGGAACTTCTCAGTTATTTTGATATTATCTATGCAAGAAACTTGCGAGGAATGCTAGGATTTCCAAGGAAGCAATTGCTGTTTTTTTTCCTGTTGAGAATGTGATACTATCGGTTTTTGATCTTCACAAGGTCATTTCTCTCTAGGAATGAGATTTTCTTGGTCAATTTGTAACCATTGAAGACAACAATTCAAGAATGCAAAAGCTAACAGATAAGGGTGTTTCTGAATGTGCTATCTCGCATCTAGAATACTTCAAGATCATTTTCCTTTGAAACAACATATATAAGGGGTATGTTTGTTCTATTAACTTCGACAACATTGTTTAAGGTGATAAGCCGCTTCCATGATATTACCCTGACCAATCTGCAACAACATAGAAAACTCTATTTACCTGATAAATGATAATATAGTTGATTTAGTTTATGTACACATTCCACTTCATTGTAATATTGTACCTTGAAAAAAAACTCCTTTTCTTTGTTATTTCTTGGGATACTCCCCTCTGTCCTACTTCATAGGAGAGAGAAAACTCTCTTTCCGGAAACTCCTTGCCAGAAACGTCCTTTCTTTCTACTCTCAACTCCCACATTCTGTGGTAGCTTTTTCACGGAACTCTTTTTTTTTTCATTATTTCTTCTTTCACTAGCAGAGCTCTTCCTCTCTTGATCTGTGATGGAGGAAAACAGGATATATTTCAACGCAAGCTTCAAGTCTTTATATCACAAGATGGACAGTGGGGAGAGACATTTGGTTTGAATGGGTCGAGAGAAGCCGCAAACTGATGAGAAGGTCTTCCATGAGTGTGGAAATACAAAGAAAAATTCACTGAGACTTTCTGCACTAGGAAAGTGAATGAGTATGGTAGATTCTTGAGCATTTTAAATCTTGCTGGTCGGGAAAGAGTAGTTATAATAGTTCCAGAGTTAGCTATAGATGTTGGGTGGTATGAGATAGCCTCTAATATAGAGAGGTTCATTCAATGCTCTCACCAACTATAGAATGCAGTACAACCCAAACTTTTTAAGAAGGACCTCTCTAACTCTCTTATGCCACAGCAACTGGGGAAAGCAAATGGAGATCAAACACTTCGGGTGAGATGAAGATCTCGTACAGTGAAGGAAACCGTCAAGTTACAGATACACCAGGGACAAGAGACACTGGACTTTTCAAGAGGTGCACTGTGGGTTCTTTTGATGAGGGAGAAACACAACCTCCCTCTTTACCAGACATCAGGAGATGGATTGCAGTCTCTTAGAAAGGAGTGTTTGGGATCAACATTTACGAGATGGACAACAATATGTTCCTCTTCGAATTTCCAAATAGGCACATGACAGAACAAATCGTACAGAAGGAGTAGAGGTGGGAGAAGATCAAATTTAATCTTCAGGGGTGGAACCCGGTAGAAGGATGTGAAGATACCAATCAAAAAATTAAATCCACTTGGATTAGAGCTTTAGGAGTACCTCTACAACTCTGGTCACAAAGAATCTTCACAGAAATTGGAAATCTTTGCGGAGGACGGGTTGAAACTGAGGAGGAGACGGGTTTGAAGAACTATTTAAAGTGGGAAAGAATTAAAATCCGTGGAGATGGAAAAAACTACCCGAGCGAGATTTCGATTGAGAGAGGCGGGATAAATTTTTTTATCACAATTTGGGTAGAGAGGAAAGTTCGTTTACAAATCTTGACGCCGGCCGTAGAAGAAAATCATCAGCTAGTCATGCCGGAGCTGGGAGAGTGTAGCAAAGAAACTGGAGGTCTGCCACTGTCTTTGGACCAACAGGTAATAGAGTTGTCTCCTACAGAGAAAGGATAAAACTTTTTCAAAAAGTCAAAAGTTGTGCAGATGGGGCACATAGGGCTCCCAGATACAGCTGAAGTCTTTTTAAATGAGACCCCACACTCATGTGCTAAGGAAGTGGAGACCCAAGTCTGTTTGAGAAACTTTTTGGGCTGGGACAATACTAAAAAAAAGATTGGGCCTGATAGAGCAAATATCATCTTAAATGACTTATCAGGCCCAAGTGAGGTGGTAGCCTTTATTGATCCTTTATGCTTCGAGATAGAAGACCATACTCCAGTTCTTAAGTGCACTCTTCAACAACTTGATACTACATCAAAGGAAGGGCATGCAGAAAATGGGTACTCAATTATAAATTCAGGAGATGCTTCGAATCCCCCCAAAACGATAGCGATGGAGGTTAGCAGTTTTAAACCAGATTTATTTCTGGAAATTCAGAAGGGTCAAAATAACACATCAAGCATGCAGACTGACAAACAAATTGAGGAGTGGGTGGTAGAGGATGCATATCCGATACAAAATGACATGAGCTCCGCAGTACAAAAAGAGAAGGAGACATCTATGTGGGTAAGACAAAATCTTATCAAGCTGGGAAAAATGTCATTTTCAAGGACATGAGGAGAAATCTCTGGAGCTACTTATGCAAATAGACAGTTGCAGACAAGCTAGGAAAATGGAAAGTGATTCTATTAGCAAAAGGCCTAGGTACAAGGGGGTTCAGGAATTGAAAAGGCGGACATTTTTTTATATTAATTTCAAATGTGAGGGGAAGAGAGAGATGGGGAAAGAGGACTAAGTTTTACAATGAATGTAAAACTTGTGTCCTGGAATGTTAGGGGACTAAATAGTGGGGATAAGAGGAGATTTGAGAAGAGTTTAATCTCCAACTGGAAGGCTGACATTGTATGTCTACAAGAGTCAAAGTTAGAGGGGGAGATCCATGATATAATAAAAGAGATTTGGGGTGGTAGATGGGTTAAGCATGTTTGTTTACAAGCAAGTGGCACTAGGGGGGGGGGGGGGGATTTTGATGTTATGGGACAGTAGATCATGGAAAGGGGAAGTCCTGGAAACAGGTTCCTCCACCCTCACCTGCAAGTTTGAGGCAGTGTTTCAGGATTTCAATTGCCACATAACAGGATTCTATGCTCCTAATGGCAGAGTTGAGAGAGAGCATGTGTGGGAGGAAATAGGTGCTGTTAGAAGTCTTTTTGAGGGACCTTGGGCAGTGTGTGGAGATTTCAACATCATAAGATATCCATCAGAAAAGAGAAATTGCAAAAGGAGAACTCTAGGTATGATAGAGTTCTCTGATTTTATTGAAGATATGGACTTGGTGGACTTACAATTGGTAGGGGGTAACTACACTTGGTTTAAAGGGGACAATAACAACGTTGCTTCTAGAATTGATAGGATTTTAATTTCCAAGGAGTGGGATGCCAACTTTAGCAGAATTCAACAAGAGGTGTTACAGAGATTGTGCTCAGATCACAGTCCCATTGCTCTACAATGTGGAGCTTGGGAGCAAAACAAATCATATTTCAAGTTTGATAATTGGTGGCTCAACACGGAGGGTTTTGTGGAAAAAATTAAAGAATGGTAGGAGTCTTTTGTATTCACTCAAGGCTTTAAAAGGCAAATTGAAGGAATGGGGTAGAACCAGCTTGGGCAATCTAGGGTTACAAAAGGTCCAAATCCTAAGTCAGTTAGCAATGCTGGATGCGGTAATGGAAAATAGAGTCCTGACAGAAGAAGAATCTGCAATGAAGGCATCTTTGATTATGAACTATGAAGAACATCTTAAAAATGAAGAGATAGCATGGAGACAAAGATCAAGAGTTTTGTGGTAGAAAGAGGGGGACAAAAATACCAAGTATTTCCATAAAGTGGCCAATGCACACAAAAGATACAACAACATTGATCAACTGATAATTCAAGATGAAACAGTGAAGGATCCAGAGAGAATTAAAGGGGAGATTATTGGTTTTTATCAGAAGTTTTACTCAGAAACCTCATATAGATAACCTTCCAGCAACCTAATCAATTGTCCAATGGTCACTGAAGCTAAAAACAAACTGCTACAAAGGGAGTTTGAGGAACAAGTACTAGCATGTCTGAAGATGTGTGCCATGGACAAAGCTCTTGGTCCAGATGGTTACACAATGGGGTTTTTTATCAAGTGTTGGGATGTAGTGAAGTCATGGATACCTTTAAGAATTTCCATTCTCACAATATCTTGGAGAAGAGCTTTAATGCCACCTAATTGCTTGATCCCAAAGAAGAATGGTGCCAAGGAACTGAGAGATTTTAGGCCCATCAGCCTCATCGGAAGTGTATATGAGTTGTTATCCAAAGTGCTGACTGAAAGGCTGAAGAAAGTGGTTGACAAGCTAGTGGATGCTCAACAGATGGCATTCATCAAAAATCGACAAATAATGGATGCCATTCTAATTGCAAACGAATTAGTAGATTCAAGAATTACCCAAGGAAAGGCAGGAATTTTGTGCAAACTGGACATAGAAAAAGCATATGACCATGTGAACTGGAAGTTTTTGTTGAAGATGTTTGCATGTATGGGTTTTGGAAGGAGGTGGATTCAGTGGATCAAGTATTATTGCATCTCTACTGTCAGATCCTCAGTCCTTATAAATGGTGCACCAGAAGGTTTTTTACCTGCTCAAAAGGATCTGAGGCAGGGAGATCCCCTATCTCCTTTCCTTTTTATCATTGTTATGGAGGGCCTAAATAACATGATAAAGGTGGCTAGAGAGAATGAATGCATCAGGGGTTTTGAGGTAGCCACAACTCAAACCTCAATATCAAATAGCAACATGGAAGTCACTCATTTACAGTATGCAGATGACACCTTAATATTTTGTGATGCTAATGAGGGATAACTTTTGGATTTAAGATCAATTCTGGTGTTGTTTGAAGGAGTCTCAGGTTTGCATATCAACTGGAGAAAGATTCAGTTGTATCCTATTAATAATGTTTCTAATATGGAGGAACTGTCATGGATTTTGGGAGGGGAAGTAGGTTCTTTGCCTACCATTTATCTGGGCATGCCCTTAGGAGCCAAATCAAAGGCTTTGAACATCTGGAACCCATTGATTGACAAGTGTGAGAAAAAGCTTACCAGATGGAAATCTCAATATATCTCCTTGGGAGGCAGAGTCACTCGCATTAATTCAGTTTTGGATGCCTTACCTACTTACATGATATCCATCTTCCCTATTCCTAATGGGTTGATACAAAGACTTGACAAAATTAGGAGGGATTTCTTATGGAAAGGGACAGAGGAAAATGATTCCACTGTCAAATATTTAGTCAAGTGGAACAAGGTTCTCTGGGGGAAGAAACATGGGGTTCTTGGAGTAAGGAATTTGAAAAAGCAGAGGAAAGCCCTTAGACTAAAGTGGTTATGGAGGTATTCTCAAGAGCCTCAACCATACTATGGAAAGTAATTCAAGCAAAATATGGAGAAGAGAACAAGTGGATGACAAAGGAGGTACTTACACCATATGGGGTAAGCCTATGGAAGTCCATCAGAATCTTATGGCCTCTCTTGAAGATCAATACGAGCATCAGGGTAGGATATGGCATCAAGACTTCATTTTGGGAGGATAAATGGTTGGGCAACTTTAGCTGAAAGAGTATCTTTCCACATATGCATGACTTGGCAGTGAATAAACAAGTGAGTGTAGCTGAGGTTTGGACACAGCATGGATGGAATTTCCAGTTTAGAAGGAATTTCAATGACTGGGAAATAGAGACCGTGAATGATTTTATTGGTAGGTCTTTTACAGGAACAAGGGATGAACACGATGGATTATGGTGGAGGAGAAATAACAAAGGCACATTCAAGGTAAACTCTGCATATAATTTGCTAAATCAAGATGGACAACAACCTTCTCTTTGGCCTTGGAAGCAGATTTGGAAACCTAAAATCCCTTTCAAGGTGTCATGTTTCACTTGGCTTCTGGCAAGAGAAGCAATTTTAACACATGAAAATCTCGAAAAAAGGAAGTTCTCCATGTGTTCTAGATGCTATTTATGTGGGGAAGAGGTTGAGACAGTCAATCATCTGTTTCTCCAGTGCAGAATAATATCCCAGCTATGGAGGATTTTCATTAGTCTCAGGGGTTTTGCTTGGGCTATGCCTATCAGAATCACGCATCTTTTATACAGTTGGGGAGAAGTAGGGGTGGGAGCTGCAGATAGAGATGGAGGATTGTCCCAGCCTGTATCTTGTGAACTGTTTGGAAAGAAAGAAATGCTAGATGTTTTGAGAGCAAGAATAGTGATCTCCAAAAGATCAAACTATATCAGGCTTTTTTGTTTCTGGTGCAAGCAAATGTATTTAGAGGACACTGAATCCATTATAGATATCCTAGGTTCCTGTTAGGATTCAGATTCAGTTTTCTTACTTTTTGACAAGCTGTAAACATGGTTGAGTGCAACCCAAGCACTGGTTTCAATGAATATACACTATGTTACCTTCTAAAAAAAAAAGGTGTTCATTAGGCGGGAAAATGTCACCATTTTGCTGACAAATAGCTTAAATCAACATATACAATTCCAAAAAATTGAGTTTCTAAGTGCAATAAGATTACCTGATCATGACTGACAGACATCATATATTCCCCACATCTAGCCCAGGCGATGTCTGACACTGCAGCAAAGTGTCCAGATGGAACTTTTTGTGGCTTCCAGTCATCATACTCAATACCAACATTTTTCCAGAGGTGAAAAGATCCACCATATCCATGAGCTAAAATAAAATCTGCATTTGGACTCCAGTGACCACCATAAAATCCCAAAGCACAGTGACTTAATTCCCCAACGGTGACTACATTCATCCAAATACCAGTTGTCTTTTCAGGTTGCCAGATCAACATTGTCTTATCCATGGATGCAGATAAAATGCTTTGAGGCTGAAAACACTCAATTCCCTCAACAGAAGAAGTCGATGGCGGCTGCCATTCCACTGAGTATACCCAATCTTCATGCCCAATGAGGAGAGATTCCATAGAGATCTGATAAGAGGATGAGCCAGCTACAAGAACAGGACCTTTAATGTAAGAAGCCAAACTTGTTTGCTGCTTCTTGTTACTAGCTGAAGAATCCTGTAAGGTCATCTTCCATATGCGAATGCCTTTGTCTTGGGATGAACTTACAAGTAGAAGACTAGATTCACCATTCACATACACAGGCAATGAGAGATCTAAACTCCTAATCCAGTCTGTATGAGCCTTTAACTCACAAGCACGAAGAAACTGCGACATAAAAACAGAAACAAGGTTTATTATTAGCAAAGGAGATGGTTATGTAAGCAAATGCACAAGAAATATGAATTGTTGTTTCATACTTTTCCATTTCTCTCACCACAATATAGATGAATTTTGTTGTCCAATCCTCCCATGGCCAGAACCAGCTGCTTGCTATTCCCTGGGAGCTCTGCTAGTGAAAGAGCAACCATAGGTTTCTGACCAACAAAAAGAGAATCCGAGCACGACAATTTGCAATCACCTACAAAAGACAGATCAAACATAGAGGTGATACTTTTTTTTTAAGCAATATTAGCACCAAAAACTACATAATAGTAAGATAAATCACTTGAGGGGAGAATATACATACGGGTAAAGCAATTTGTGCATGGATCTTCAGATCCCAAGGACCTTGACAGTTATCTCTCTCAATTCCAGTTCAGATTTTTATGAAAAAATGAAGCATATGAAAGAAAAAACGGAAAGAATATTTCATACAATTTCACTCATATATACCTAATCAAATCTGTACAGAGGACAGAAAATGCTGATCACTGATTACTGAGTTAACTCCCATCTAAAACTAAAAGAGTAATTACTAAATTCCCTTCCACTTAAAAACTAAAAGAGTAAAACACTTCCCGGCACCAAAATCTAATCTAGCTTAAATTCTTAAACAGTAATACATGTGTGGATTGAGGTATAGTGGTTCCATCTTTGACCATAAAGGGAATTATAATGGATATATTGGACTGCTATAGACTATACGTATTGCAGGAAAATGCAGATAATATTTCAGCCTATTGACCATATGTATTGGCTAGATTACTGACTACAAAGATGAACCAAAAAACACTAAAATCACAGTAATTTCAGCTGATAATATGATTGCAGAATCTGCAGAGAGGCATCAAAATTTAAGAACAAAAAGGAGCAGAAACCTCCTCCACAGTAGAATAGAAATTAATCATGATGTAACAACATTTTTTATTTAAAGATTGATCATCATGTAACGACCAACGCTAGACCGTGAAGCAATTTAGATATGTTCTTCTCACCTCCACGAGTAGATGGAAATACTACTTCGCATACATTCACAGTGCCATCAGAGGATGCAGATGCAAAAACAGCTTCTTGCTGAGACACCATGATCGCCGTGATGCAGGTAACACCTTTTTTGTGGACTTGTGGCACTTGTAAGACATATCTCCACTATCAGCAAAAATATAATGAGTCAAGCAGCAGTACTGGCTGTAATTGAACATTAATCAAGTGTTGTTTCTTTAAATTCTCAAGAAAAGACTACAACTAAATGCCTTCTTTTACCCACTCAAGAAAGACAAGAAAATTCAGGACTCAGAGAAAAGAGATGCTAATAATTGTGTTTTTAAGACGAGAAAATATGACGGACTTAGAGGTAAATGCATGTTTTTGATGAAAAAGGTAAAGAGACAAATATTTTTTGATGAGAAAGGTAAAGAGGCAAATACATCTTTAAGGAGAATAATAAGAAAATCAGAAAACAAATTGTAGCTATTCTTACTGTCCATTCTATAATCTTGGTGATAAGTTTCAAGGATACTCATGTTCTCATTGTTTTTTCCTTTGCCTCTACTTTAGAATTAGTAAAACAACTCAAAAAGGTCATATACCGGCTTACCATCTCAAACTATCTTTTCATCTCCTCCCCTCTCTATCTCAATCCAAGAAAATGAAAAAAAAAATTAGCGTATCATTCTTTCCTATTGGGGGTTGAGGGAACCAGCGTAGGTAACAAGAGATGTTGGAACAAGCAAATGACTACCTTCGCATCCACAAGAGAATACTCCCACAAAATTATTACACCTTCCGCATCTCCAGAAAGCAAAAGATGTTGCTCCAGCTGCTTAGCTGCAATACACAAAGCCTTATTTAATAACTGATAGAAGCTGCAATGAGAGACCTTCGGAACATTTGTTCATAGAAGCGAGGAAATAAAAACTTCTCTAGAAAAGGAAATAATTGGGTGGGTTCTCAAATTCAATAATACTACAACAATAATATTCCCAGTGAGATTTCACTAGCGGGGTCTAGGAAGGGTAGTGTGTATGCAAAATTTATTCTTACCTAGTGAGGTGATATTCAATAATACTAAAGAATTTATTTTTTTTGAGAACTGGTAGACATTGTATTCTTCAGCAATAAGGATATGCTGGGACCGTTAGAAAATCAGGAAAAAAAAACAAAGAGCAAAATACTTACAAGGATCCTAATAATTCTAAGAGTTGATCAAAAAGTTGATCTGAATCCTCTAATCCTATCTCTTTACACCAAAAATATAGAGATACAATGCAATTCCACTTAACCTTGTGAATGGAATTGGATATATCTTCAAAATTCCTACTATTCCTCTCCTTCCACACTATCCACCAAATGCAATGTGGAATCAAATTCCACCAGGTCTTTCGTCTCTTGCTACCTCCTCTCCTGATCCAACAACTAAGTAAATCAGTTGTATGTTCGGGCATAGTATTTCACTTCTGAAAAGTTGAGAAACATGGACCATATTTGTGCCGTGAAAGTGCAATGAAAGAATAGGTGACTGTTAGTTTCTCCTATCTTCCCACATAAAGAGCACCACAGAATTATGATCTTTTTTTTTCCTCAAGACTTCATGTGTCAAGCATGCCTTTCTGGTAACCAGCCAAGTAAAACATTTAACTTTTGTTGGTGCTGCAGTCCTCCAGATATTTTTCCATGAACTCTGGTATTTGCTACTTTCCAAGTTGCACTCCTTTTTATATGCCCTGCCAACTGTGAAGATGCCATCCTTACTGTGTGACCAGAACAACATCATTGTCAGTATTAGTGCCTGCAAAATCCCCCACTTCCTCCAACAATTTGGCTACTCTCTCTATTTCCCAATCATTTAGAGGTCTTCTGAAATAGAGATTCCAACCTTGTACTGTCCAGCAATCACTGATCATTGCCTTAGAATTGGTGCACGAAATAAATAGATCAGGAAACAAGTCTTTTAGGGTGGTTTGTTTGATCCATACATCCCACCAGTATCTAGTTCTCCTTCCATCCCCCACCTTGATTTGTAAATTTGCTTCTAACTTGGGCCATAAGTTTCTAATAGCTCTCCAAACCCCCGCTCCATAGGCATCCGTGCTTATGTTATTACACCAGAATCCATCCTCCCCATATTTACATTTAATCAAATCTTTCCACAAAGCTTGCCTTTCCTCTGTGTATCTCCACAACTATTTCATCAAAAGACTGTTGTTATGCTTCCTCAAATCTCTAATGCCCAAGCCACCTTTATCTTTTCTATGCAAAACTGTCGCCCACTTGACCAAATTGTATCCTTTGTTCTCTTTGCAGCCATGCCAAAGGAAATCTCTCCTAAGTTTGTCCAATTTCTTAACCACTTTTGCCGGTATAGTGAAAAGAGACATAACATATGTTGGGAGAGAATCTAGAACAGAATTGATAAGAATGTGTCTACCACCAAAAGAAATGTATTGAGCCTTCCATCTAGCTAGTCTTTTTTCAGTCTTCTCGACTATGTTGTCCCATATCTTCAAATCTTTGTGTGTATTACCTAAAGGCAAACCCAAATAAGTTGTGGGCAATTTCCCCACTCCGCATCCCAAAATGTCAGCTAGACTTTAAATGTTTGTTACATCCTTAATTGGATATAAACTGCTCTTCCCCCAGTTAACTTTCAACCATGTACAAGCTTCAAAAAACAACAAAATTAGTTTGATGAATCTAAATTGCTCCTCTTGTGGCTCACAGAAAATCACGGTGTCATCTGCATAAAGTAGGTGACAAACCTCTGATCCATCTGTTTTGAGTAGCAATCCTTATCAAACGATCAAATCCCTCCATTACCAAGATAAATAGAAAGGGTGAAGGAGGATCGCCCTGTTTGATTCCCCTTCCGGAAGAGAAAAAACCCACTGGTTCTCCATTTACAAGAATGGAGAATCTCACCATGCTTATGCAAAATTTTATCCATGCCACCCATCTTTCTCCAAAACCTATTTGTCTCAAGGTGTTTAGTAGGAAACCCCGATTTACATGATCGTATGCTTTATCAATGTCCAGCTTGCACATTACCCCTGGACTGTTTCCTTTCAATTTGGAGTCCACATACTCACTTGCAACGAGAGCTGCATCCATTATTTGTCTTCCTTTAATAAATGTCATTTGGTTTTTGTTCACAAGCTTATCAATCACTCTTTTTAGCCTTTCTGCCAGTAGTTTTGCTATCACCTTGTGAACTCCAGTAATTAGACTCATTGGTCTGAAGTCTTTAAGTTCAACGGCACTAGCTTTCTTGGGGATGAGTGCTACAAAAGTAGCATTAAAACTCTTCTCAGTAATCAGTCTGGCATGGAATTCTTGAATAGCCTTTATAAAATTCTCTTTAGGATCCCCCAGAAAGACAAGTAAAAGGATATGAGGAAACCATCAGGTACAGGTGCTTTCTCCATAGCAAAAAGCTTTAAGCAACCTAGGATCTCTTCCTCGTCGAAAGGAGCCTCTAGTTCTATCTGCTCCTCCACAGTAATGGTTGTGATCCCTTGTAATGGTAGCTCAGGCCTCTACTCCTCTGATTCTGTGTACAAATTTTGGTAGTAACTTTTGATGGTCTCTTTAATGACAAAGGGATCATTAGCATTGCATCCATCCACCAATAGAGACTCAAAGGAGTTATATCTCTTATGAGAAGTAGCTACTCTGAAAAAACTTAGTATTTTTATCCCCAAGCTTTAGCCACTGGATTCTTGGTCTTTGCCTCCATCTTATTTCTTCATTCTTAGCTACTTGCTCATACGTGACAGCCAAATCTGTTTTTTGTTGGATCTCCTCCTCTGTGAGCACTCATTGTTCCTGTACAGCTTCCCATTTGGCCAGCTCCTCCATAATCTCCTCCTTTTGTGCTTTACAATTTTTCCTATTATTCTTACTCCATTTCATCTTTCCTTTCAAAAGTTTCAGCTTTTCTGCCAAAACAAAACCTTGGGATCCACTTATTACAAAAGATTGCCACCATAATTTCACCTCTTCCTTGAATCCTTCCACTCTCATCCACCAATTTTCGAATTTGAAGTAGGACTTCTTGAAATTCAGATTCCCACATGTTAGTAGAATTGGGTTGTGGTCAGAACCCAACTTTGGCATTGTGGATTGCTTGATAAAAGTGACTGCTCCTCCCATTGTGAGCTATAGAGAAATCTATCAATTTTGGAAGCTGTTTGGTGCCCTTCCCCTCTTCTCTAAGTGTAAGACCCTCCAAATAAAGGAGGGTCTACTAATTCCAATTCCTCAATGCATTCAGAAAATTCACTCATAGCACCATTAATCATAGAGCAATTGGATCTTTCTGCCAGGTATCTAATAACATTGAAGTCCCCCCCCCCAACTACTACCCAAGGATATTCACATAGACTTCTCATTGCACCCAACTCACCCCACAGTTCTCTCCTCTCTATTTTCTTGCACTTAGCATAAACTGCTGTCAGAAACCATGAAAATTCTTGATTCTTGTTTGAAAATTTACAAGAGATGCATTGTGATCCTGCTTCTACCAGATCCCCCTCCCATATTCTTTTATCCCACATAATTAAAATACCTCCACTAGACCCTTGTGCCTCTACATGAAGTTCACTCAACCATCTGTTGTTCCAAATGCTGTGAATTAAACTACTAATATTGTCCTTTAGTTTAGTCTCCAAAAGGATATAGACATCTGCCCCCCATTGATTAATCAAATTTCTAACTAAATCCCTCTTCCCTTCATCGTTCAGCCCCCTTACATTCCAAGAAATTATTTTTACCATCATTGTTCCACAATTGATAATCTCCTCCCTCTACTCCTAGGCTCCCCCTCTTTGAATTTCATATTGAAAATAAGATTCCTCAACTCTTTATGCACTGCTTGGTTGGTTGTGTTGCTATTATTTTCCCTATTGCTTTGTTCCTCCCTTGTGGTTTTTTGCCCCATTCTACTTATTAAAGAGAAGAATTCTCTTTCATATCCCTCTGTACACACCCCAAATATTTGGCTTAATTTGACTAAATTTATGTGAAATTTCAGCGTTGCTTGAGACTCAAAGCCCTACTCAGATATACTGTCATCAATTGCTAGGGGCCTGGGTTCGTGCAAGAACTCCATTGACTCTCCCAATAATTCCATCGACTCATCACCTTCAAAACTTTCCACCTCCATGCTCTGTATCTCCTTACCCCCTGTCTTATCATTCCCAGAGGAGTTCGCGATCTGCCTCGAGTCCTCTGGCATGCGTAAAAATTTTCCTCCCATGCGCATGCAGGTCTCAGTGTCACCAGCTATGGTTGAATGGTCAAGGGAATTGAAAGAAGAAGAGCTCAAAAAAGGTTGAAAATCAACAAAAGGTTCAGTAAAATGTTTGGGCTTTTTAAGGCCCAAAAAATTTTGAGTCTCCTTTTCATTTATCCAGTCAGCAGGCCCAATTAAAATAGGCCTTTCATCCATCAGATCCAAGTAGGACCCTAAAGAAATTAAAAGAGATAATTACAGCTTTTCTCTCACCAACAATAAGGAAAAAGAACGTTTTATAAACTGCTCATTGTTTGTACATTGAGCAAACTATTTACATTTAGCTTGAACATCCAGTCATTACAACAACAACATACTGCAATGTAATCACACACAATCCCACAGGTGGGGTCCAGGGAGGGTAGAGTGTACGAGACCTTACCCCTACCTCATGGATGTAAAAGCTGTTCCCGAACGACATGTATAATATTAACATATTTAGCGACTTGACAGTAAAGGTGATTAGTGAAGCAGGTAATTTTTGTATGTTATAGAACAACTAAGTTAAGTGCAAAAGCCATACCCGGAGAAAAAGGGCAAAATTATAAGTAAAAGATCTACATAATATTAGGAAATTAAGGTTCCTTAGATATTTCATCCCCTGCTTTTCAGCTGAAGTATTGTACTATGAACAGCTAATGATACTACTCTTCCACAACCACTTACTTTTAGAACTAAGGCTAGACTAGTAAAATAAGTTAGAAGTAATTTAATTAGTTAATGAAACCGTTACTTACACCACTTATAGGCTACAACAACACAACTTATAGTCCCTCCGTTTCAATTTCAGTGACTTAGTTTGACTATGCACGTTGAGAAAGTAACAAACATTATTTAAAAATCTTGTGATCTCAAAGATGACGTGTAATACGTTGGATTTAATGAGTTGGTATATATAGAAAGAGGCTTTTTTTTACGAAGACTAAAAAATAAAGTAATACATAAATTAAAATGGAGGGAGTACTTACTTCTATCACCTAACTCTCCAATTCTGCAACCTAACTAGCTATGTTGGACCAACTGTATCAAGGCCAAACGTAAGCACAAATATCTAACACTTTGTTTGGATGGTTGTTGTTTCATAGTGTCTCGTATTGATTTATTTTGATAGATACAATGAACGGATAGATTGTATCATTTTCCGTTGTTACATAATGTCACACATCAATAAATTTGAAGGATAAGTGTACAAGTAAAACAGGGTATGGGGTGGAGTTACCATAAAAAATATGGTAAAGGATAAATTTCACAAGTAAAGACAAAATGAGGGACAAAAAAGGTAACGACCTGATCACGCTAAAGCGGTCTTATACAAAATGGTACTTTTCATCTTACAAAAGATTTAACGATACGATACAATAACATTTAAGGAACAATCAAAACAAACATTATATTTAAACTAACAACACAATACAATACAAAACATTATATTTAAACTAACGATACAATATAATACAATAGGTAGCAATCATCAAAACACGTTGTAAGGTACAAAAAGGTAACATGCGATCCTACCAAATGGATCTTATACAAAATGAGACATTTAGTCCTTGCCTAAAGATGATTTTAACACAAAGATACAATAAACCATTGAAACAAACATTATATTTAAACTAACAATGCAATATGCAACAACCATCCAAACAGGCAGTAAGGTTTTTTAAAAAAAGGCAGTACCTTTGAATGCAAACTTGCTATTGGGAAGCCAAAGGGTACAATTCACAGAAGCTTTATGACCAGCCAGTGTAGTCAAGATTTGAGCTGTCTGATTAAGAAAAACAAAAACATAAATTTCAAAAAATTAATACAAATATTCAAGCTGAAAGTGGAAAAAGAAGAACCTTTGGACAGAAAATGGCAACAGCATTTTGGGCACCAAAAGAAACTAAACCAGAAGCACCCCATGAAACGTTATTCACTACTCTGTTGCATCCTGCTCCTATAAAAACTCTCTCTACTTCCATATTTTGCATAATTTGAGTGGATTCACCCGTCGACAGCAGTGTGACGACGGAGAAGGAGGAGTTACAGTGAGATGACGGAGCAAATATAATGGTTTTTCTCGATTCCGTTAACTTCGATTCACGGTAGAGGTGGGGAGTTGCAGTGAGATGACGGAGCCACGGTGGAGGTTGACGGAGGCGAAGATTTTACTCGCTGCCGGTAACGGCGGTGTGAAGGCGGGAGCAGAGAAGAAGCAATTCACTAGAAATCTTATTTTCCAAGGCCCAAATAAACCCAAAACTGCCCCATGTATGTAAGCCCAATACTTTATGTACTCAATTTACTTTTGAACCATTTAATTGTGCGATTTGTCTGGTTTTTAATTTTGCGGAACTTTAACATATAGCCACTCAAAAATATTACACTCCGTAGTTATAGTTTGATAATTACAATTTGAAGCTAGATGTTATAGAGAGGAGAGAGGGCAAAGAGTGGAAGAGAGGTGAATTGTATATTTATATTGATTAGATGATCGTATATTATACATATTTATTTGCATATATGACAAGTGAAAAATGGAAGAGGGAGGAGAGAGGCCAGCAAGAGGGAAGAGAGTTGGAGAGAGGTATATTTTATATGTATATCCATTAAATAATTGTATATTATACTTATGTATTTGTATATTCTGGTGAATTATACATTTATAAACGTGGTTAATACAATGTTGAAGTCAGTCCACATAATTAATGTATAATGTTGGTTCCGAATAGTAATTATAGCAAACTAAAGCTATAATGAGTAATTAAGTAGTATAAGTTTGCTTAACCGAATATTTTTCCCTTTAATTTTGTTCATCGTAACCGAATAAATGCCTAATGAGTACAAGTTTTTTAACACGTTGAATATAATTTAAGAAATATTATGGCGCACAAATATAAACTTATTCTCGCCATTTTTTTTATAATCATGATGGATAAGAGTTAAAGACCAGTGTAACTTTTTTATTTTGATCGACTGATTAATGACAAAATTTTCATAAGACAGTCTGTTTTGACATCTCCATTAAGTGTGTATCAATATTTTTGTAAAAAAATAAAAACTACATATATTATAACTTCAGATACGTGATGTCTGAAATTAGGCTTGACCAAGTTTGAAGTTATATATGACTCCTCAATTTCAATCATTTTTGCCTAAAGTTCAATCATATTATTAATTAAAAAAAATAACAAAAGTTGATAATTTAGAGGTTAAAACAAAAACATTTAAGGGTGTGTTTAGTATGAAGGAAAATGTTTTCTATTTGAAAATATTTTTCTGGAAAACAAGTAGATTTTCGACTTATTTTCTCATGTTTGGTTGGTGAGTAGAAAATATTTTTTGTGTGTTTGATTTATGAATGAAATTAATTTTTTGGGGGGTTGGGGTGGGTGGGGGCTGGTAGGGGTGGATAGGGGGGCTGGCCGGGTGGGGGATGTAGGAGTTTAAAAATAAAAATTTGAAGTTGAAAATTTTTTTAAAAAACAAAATTAATTTTTTGAGGAGGGGGTGGGTTTGAGGGGCTGGCCGGTGGTGGGTGGGTGGGGTCGGAGTTCGGGTGAAAAAATAAAATTTTAAAATTGAAAATATTTTTTAAAATTGATGTTTTTCGAATAATTTGAAATTGGAAGAGAGTTTTGGAAAATGTTTTCCTTAATTTTTAAAGGGAAGTCATTGTCCTTAATTTTGAGGAAAATGAGTTGATTTGGAAAACATTTTCCAAAACTTTTATCCCAACCAAACATGAGAAAATTGAAAAACATTTTCCAAAAATTATTTTCCTTTATACCAACACACTCTAAGTAGTCGAGTAACTTTCTAAGTAAATAGATATATGATTAAGCGATATTTATATTACCAAAAAATATATATATTTTGCTAGATAATTTTAAAGTTAGATGATCTGAGTAATGAACTCAAAAATTTTATTTGTGATCGATTACGAATCTAATCTATATAAGAGCACGTAAATTAGGGATGCAAAGTAGATGTGTAACACATGAAAAAATGAATAAAAAGACAAAAATAAAATAACTCAAATTTAACTTAAAAATGATGATATTTTTTCTAATAAAATACAGACAAACAAAGCTTGAAAAAAAAATAATACACTGCGCAAATTATGACATGAATTATCATCAATAATAAGAAACCTAGTGTTAAGATATTTATTTGCTAAATTATCAAAATGGATTTGGCTTTTCTAATTTTTTTTCTTTTCAAAAGTTTTGCTTCAAAAAGTTTCACATCATCAAACATCAATATTCATCGAATATATCACTTAAATTAGTTGAACGACTTTACACGTGAAAAAAAAAATTATTAAGTGATTTTTCTCATATAAAACGAAGAATAACAAAATGACTTTTTAAATAGTTGAGTGATAATATGAAAAGTCAATTTTGGACATCTACTATTAAAGATAGAGAAAAGATATAAAGTGACACCTGAAGTTGTCCCGAATTTTCAAAAAGACACCTAAACTACGCAAGCGTCCTATTGCCCCCCTAAACAATTCTGAATTGATATTATTACATCATTTTTTGTCCACCTGGCATGGAGAGTGTATGCACTCTCTTAAAGAGCATGAACAAACTAAAAAAACGAATATAATTTATTTTTATAAGTATTTTGCTATAAAATACATTTTCTTGTTTTTTCTTATTATTTAAACTTTTTCTCCTTATTATTTATTCCTTTTTCTTTCTTTCTTCTTCTTCAAAAATTTAATTTAATCTTCATTGAAGCTTTTCACTTTAAATGTCACTTTTTACCACAACTCTATATATCTTTCCTTTTTACTACTATTAATTTAATTCTCTTCAATTTTAAAATTATATCTAAATAGTTTATTACATTTTAATAATTTGATAAATACATTAGATTTCAAGATGATTAATAGGTATTATTTTAGTTTTTTTTTTTAAATCCAAATTTCAATTAAAGTTTTTCAATTTCCTGAGAATTATGATTATTTCAAAATTATCATTTCTAGTATTGAAGTTATATGAAAAATGAAATAAATTAGTGACATGATTAGGTAGTATCATATAGTTTTTTTATCCGATTTAAATTAAGTTCTTTCAATTTTTGGAGAATTAATTGATTTTTTAAAATTATGATTTCTAATTTTGAATTTATATGAAAATGAGTAGCTGATGATACTTTAAAATTTTAAATTTTCTTTAAAAAAATAGCTAATTTTGTAATCAATAATTTAGTAAAGTCTAAATAATAACATAAATTCTATAAAGAATTTGACCGGAGAAGAAGAAGAAAAAGAACAGAAAAAAAAATATGAGAGATTTTATTTGACATGAGGGCCGAGAGGTAAAGAAAAAATGAGAGTGAAAGATGGAAGATGAAATGAATTTAAGATAAATCAAAATTAAAATTCAAAAAGTTAGAGAGAGAGAGAGAAAAAGGCAAAACTTACAATGAGAAAACATTAAATTAAATTTACGCGTGTCATGTTATGATTGGTGTGTGAAACACCTGCTTCTTAAAATTTGGGACTGATCAAAAATGGTATAATAATATATGTTCAAAATTGTTTAGTGGAGTTAAGGTGTCTTTTTGAAAATCCAGGACAATTTCAATGATGACTTTATGTCTTTTCTCATTAAAGATAATATATTCTAGAAATTTATTATCTTTAAAACGCAAAATTGTTGGATATAATTCACTAGTTTAAAAATGAAAATTGAGAACCAAACATGTTTGTTAATAACAAAACTATTTTGGCCACTTTGACCAAGTCCTTGGCTGACGTAGAATTGTTGGATTTTCATTTTTTAAAAGAGCTTGAAAAATAATTCTACATCATCATTATCTAACGAAAATATAACTTAAATTGATTAAGTGACTTTAACGTGAAATGACAATAATTAAGTAATTTTCTATTACAAAGAAAATTGACTTTCTGAATAATTGAATGATGATGTGAAAAATCAACTCTTGACGTCTACTACATGAATTAAAAATAATATAGCCTAGAGTTTTATTGATCTAAAACGGAAAATTATTGGATATAATCAACTACTTTAGAGATAAGAATTGAGAACCAGACAAATTTGCAAATTTGAAGAAAACTCATTTCCTTTTGATCTTCGATTTATGTTGTTTACTAGAGAAATGTGTTTAATTATTCTTTGCGAAAAATATTTATGAAGCATACTCCCTTTGTCTCAATTTATAATGCATAGTTTGAAGTTTCAAGAACAAATCATTTAATTTTTTATAGTAAATCCAGGCATGAAGTTTTTAAGTTCTTAAAGTAAAATTTATATATTTAAAAATTACATAAAAAATACTATAAGTCGTTACTATTATTCCGCAAACCATCTTCTAAATGATCGCGTTTAAGCAAAAAAACTAAAGTTTTTAATATTCACTAACCTGATGGAGACATCTTAATCTATCTCTAATAATATAAAACACTATTAATTTGCGATCCAATTTTCTTCAAGGGTCATTACCAATTCTAACAAATTCCACAAAATACTTTCATATCAAAAAATAATATGAGTGAAGAAGTTCTTTTTATATATTTGTAAAATGGTTTGAGAGTCATTGAAATTTAATTCAAAATATTTGAGCATGAGAAATTTTAATCTCTCGAAGATCTCATAAAAATAAAATACCGTTTACAATATGATTTTATTAGGCAGATTAAAAAATCACCTAACTTTTTCACATTTCATCGACATATAGACCTCTTACTATAAGATTACGTTCACAGCTTCAGACCCATAAGTCTTAGTTGTTTGTTAATAATTTGTGTTTTAAATTGTGACAACGATAGTTCAAGTGGGGAAAATAAATAACTTATTATTCAAATGTAACAAATATATTTTTGACAATTATCTCTTAATTTTCTTTCCTCTTCATTTTTCAAAAGTTCCACATATCAGAAATAAATATGTATATCTAGCAGGTCCCATAAAAATAAAACACCCTTCTCAACACGGCAAAGACAAATTGAAAAATGACAACATTTTCAAGAAAAAAACAAAACAACTTAAATTTGTAATAAAGACATAACGAATCATCGTAACGTTTAAGATTGAAAAATGTTGAATATAATCCACTACTGTAGAAATGAGAATTGAGAATCACACATATTCTATATAACACATAGATAAAATTAATAAAAAGACCAAAAAAAATAACAAGCCAAATTTAACTTAAAAATGATTATATTTTTTCTAATAAAAATGAATTAAAAGAGAAAAATATAAGTTGAATTGATTAAGTGACTTATACGCGAAATGACAATAATTAAGTCTTTTTATGTAACAAAACAAAGAAAAGTGTCTTTTCGAATACTTGAGTGATATTGTGAAAAATTAACTCCTAGTACATGAATTAGAGATAATTTAGCCAAGAGTTTTATTGATCTAAAACTGAAAATTATTGGATATGATCCACTGATTTAGAGATAAGAATTGATAATCAGACATGTTTGTATGATACATTAAAAGTGATCATGACAGATGTCTCATAACAAAAATATTTTGGCAACATTGACTAAGTCTTGGCTGACAGAGAATTGTTGGTTTTTCATTTTTTAAAAGAGCTTGAAAATAACTCCACACCATCATTATCTATCAGAAATATAATTTGAATTGATTAAGTGACTTTTTACATGAAATGACAATAATTAAGTAATTTTTATGTTATAAAACAAAGAAATGTGACTTTTTGAATAGTTGAGTGATTATTTGAAATATCAGACATTTACTACATGAATTAGAGATAATGTAGCCTAGATTTTTATTGATGTGAATCTGAAAATTATTGGATATGACCCACTTGAGCATGTTTGTATCATATGTTCAAAAGAGGTCATGATCGATGTCTAATACTCCCTTCGTTCCATTTTATGTGTCATTTTTCATTTTTTGAGAGCTAAACAATTTAATTTTGATTGGACATTTGCGTACGAAACTAAAAGTCACAATAATTGATAATTCAAAATGTTAAAAGGATCTATAAAAAATTTACGCTAAAAAATAAACTTGCTTGAATCTAGAAATGCGAAAAGTGCCACATAAGATGGAATGGAAGGAGTAACTATTTTGGAGAAAAAACTTGCCCATACTGAGTTTTTACACAAAGTCGTCAATGCAATATCCATTATTACGTGATTTAATGAAATAAAATGAGCTAAAATTTAAACTCATGTCATGCATATATTGACTTGGTGTACACACTTGGTGCGAGTAAATTTTACCCCTATTTTGTCCACTTTGACTAAGTCCCTGACTGAAACAACTAAAAAATTGACTTGAGAATGACAACATTTTCTTCAATAGCAACCAAATTTGCAAATTTGAAGAAAACACATTTTCTATCTTTTTGAGACTAAAGATATTTGCGAAACAATCATATAAAGATTACTCGAGTTCGGAGTCTAAAGGTATAAAATATTAAAAAAAAATTAAAATGGTATATCAATTTTTATATTAACCAAAACGGCAAAATCGCTGAAACAACAGCGATTTCCTCCACCGGAAAAAGCAAAATCGCTAGTACTGCATCGATTTTGCAAAATGTAACTTTTTTTAAAAAAATGCATATTTTCTTATGAGCTATATATTTGAATTTCAAAAAAAAAATTTGAAAATCAATAAAATTTGTTTTAAGGATTTTCTTTTTAAAATTCTTTTTTTGGAAAATCGCTACCTAGGCAGCGATTTCCATTTTTAATTTTTTTTTAAGAAAAGGCAGCGATTTTCTAAAAAAAAAAATTAAAAAAAATTGAAAAAATTGCTGCCTAAGTAGCGATTTGAATTTTTTTTAGAAAAGTTACATTTTGCAAAATCGCTGCAGTAGCAACGATTTTGCTTTTTTGGGTGGAGGAAATCGTTGTTGTTCCAGCGATTTTACCGTTTTGGTTAATATAAAATTTTATGTACCGTTTTGAAATTTTTGTTAATATTTTACAACATTTAGGCTCCGAACTCAAGATTACTCCCTCTATCTTAGTTTATAATGCATAGTCTGAATTTTGAAGAGCCAAATAGTTTGATTTTCGCTATAAATTCAGGCATGAAATCTTTGAAAAAATTTAAAATAAAATTTATATATGTTGAAACTACAGAAAAAGTATTATAATTCACGATAATTTATTCACAAGCCATCTTCCGAGTGATCGCGTGTGAAGTGAAAGAATTGGAGTTTTTGATATCCAGAAACCATCTTGAAAGGTTGAGATATCTTAATCTATCTCCAATAAAAAAAAAACTATTAATATCCAATTTTCTTGAAGGTCATTACCTATTCCGACAAATTCCACAAGATACTTCATCATATAAAAAAATAATCTTCGTGAAGAAATTCTTTTATTTGGAAAATCGATTTTAGAGTCATTGCAATTTAATTTTATCAAAATATTTGAGCATGAAAAATTTGAAATGGAGGTGTCATAAAAATAAAATACCCTTTAAAACACGGCTTTATTGAGTTGACGATAGTTCAAGTAGGGAAAATAAATAACTTATTAATTGAATATAAAACTTGCAAGAAAAAAGTGATATTGAAAATTTAATTCTGACCATTATCTCTTGATATTCTTTGCTCTTCATTTATTTGAATATTCATTTTTCAAAAGTTCCACGTCAGACATCAAATATCAAGTAGGTCCCATAAAAATAAAATACCCTTCTCAACATGACAAAGAAAGATTGAAAAATGACTAACATTTTCTCAAAGACAAAAACAAAACATGTGAGAGAAGAGAATTTTGAACCAAATGTATTATACACTAAGAGTGGTCATGATCATTGTGTGATAACAAAACTATTTTGGCAACTTTGACTCAGTCCTTGGCTAAATTAGACCTCTAACACAACAGTCCAAAAGTTGACTTGAGAATGACAACATTTTCTTCCCTGATAGCAACCAAATTAGCAAATTTGGAAAAAACGTGTGTCTTGTTGATCTTTAATTAGTATAAGTTACGTACAATATCCTATTGAATCGGAAACAATAAACTCAAACTATGATGATGGTTACTAGCAAAGTATTCTCTTCACTTCAGTTTTTCACTGTTTTCTACCTCTTTACAGTTGCATTTGCTTCGACTGAGGAGGCAACTGCCCTCTTGAAATGGAAAGCAACTTTCAAGAACCAGAATAATTCCTTTTTGGCTTCATGGACGACAAGTTCTAATGCATGCAAGGACTGGTATGGAGTTGTATGCTTGAATGGTAGGGTAAACACGTTGAATATTACAAATGCCAGTGTCATTGGTACACTTTATGCTTTTCCATTTTCATCCCTCCCTTTTCTCGAGAATCTTGATCTTAGCAACAACAATATCTCTGGTACCATTCCACCTGAGATTGGTAATCTCACAAATCTTGTCTATCTTGACTTGAACACCAATCAGATTTCAGGAACAATTCCACCACAAATCGGTTCACTAGCCAAGCTTCAGATCATCCGCATATTTAACAATCATTTAAATGGCTTTATTCCTGAAGAAATAGGTTACCTAAGGTCTCTTACTAAGCTATCTTTGGGTATCAACTTTCTTAGTGGTTCTATTCCTGCTTCATTGGGCAATATGACCAACTTGTCTTTTTTATTTCTTTATGAAAATCAGCTTTCTGGCTTTATTCCTGAAGAAATAGGTTACCTAAGGTCTCTTACTAAGCTATCTTTGGATATCAACTTTCTTAGTGGTTCCATTCCTGCTTCATTGGGGAATCTGAACAACTTGTCTTTTTTGTATCTTTACAATAATCAAGCTTTCTGGCTCTATTCCTGAAGAAATAGGTTACCTAAGGTCTCTTACTTACCTAGATTTGGGTGAGAATGCTCTTAATGGCTCTATTCCTGCTTCATTGGGGAATCTAAACAACTTGTCTAGGTTGGATCTTTACAATAATAAGCTTTCTGGCTCTATTCCTGAAGAAATAGGTTACCTAAGGTCTCTTACTTACCTAGATTTGGGTGAGAATGCTCTTAATGGCTCTATTCCTGCTTCATTGGGGAATCTAAACAACTTGTCTAGGTTGGATCTTTACAATAATAAGCTTTCTGGCTCTATTCCTGAAGAAATAGGTTACCTAAGGTCTCTTACTTACCTAGATTTGGGTGAGAATGCTCTTAATGGCTCTATTCCTGCTTCATTGGGGAATCTAAACAACTTGTCTAGGTTGGATCTTTACAATAATAAGCTTTCTGGCTCTATTCCTGAAGAAATAAAGTTACCTAAGGTCTCTTACTTACCTAGATTTGGGTGAGAATGCTCTTAATGGCTCTATTCCTGCTTCATTGGGGAATCTAAACAACTTGTCTAGGTTGGATCTTTACAATAATAAGCTTTCTGGCTCTATTCCTGAAGAAATAGGTTACCTAAGGTCTCTTACTAAACTATCTTTGGGTAACAACTTTCTTAGTGGTTCTATTCCTGCTTCATTGGGGAATCTGAACAACTTGTTTATGTTGTATCTTTACAATAATCAGCTTTCTGGCTCTATTCCTGAAGAAATAGGTTACTTGAGTTCTCTTACTAATCTATATTTGGGTAATAACTCTCTTAATGGACTTATTCCTGCTTCATTCGGCAATATGAGAAATCTGCAAGCTCTGTTTCTCAATGATAACAATCTCATTGGGGAAATTCCTTCATTTGTGTGCAATTTAACATCACTAGAACTGTTGTATATGCCGAGAAACAATTTGAAGGGAAAAGTTCCGCAATGTTTGGGTAATATCAGTGACCTTCTGGTTTTGTCAATGTCATCTAATAGTTTCAGTGGAGAGCTCCCTTCATCTATTTCCAATTTAACATCACTAAAAATACTTGATTTTGGCAGAAACAATCTGGAGGGAGCAATACCACAATGTTTTGGCAATATTAGTAGCCTCCAGGTTTTTGATATGCAGAATAACAAACTTTCTGGGACTCTTCCAACAAATTTTAGCATTGGATGTTCACTGATAAGTCTCAACTTGCATGGCAATGAACTAGAGGATGAAATCCCTTGGTCTTTGGACAATTGCAAAAAGCTGCAAGTTCTTGATTTAGGAGACAATCAACTCAACGACACATTTCCCATGTGGTTGGGAACTTTGCCAGAGCTGAGAGTTTTAAGGTTGACATCGAATAAATTGCATGGACCTATAAGATCATCAGGGGCTGAAATCATGTTTCCTGATCTTCGAATCATAGATCTCTCTCGCAATGCATTCTCGCAAGACTTACCAACGAGTCTATTTGAACATTTGAAAGGGATGAGGACAGTTGATAAAACAATGGAGGTACCAAGTTATGAAAGATATTACGATGACTCGGTGGTAGTTGTGACAAAGGGATTGGAGCTTGAAATTGTGAGAATTTTGTCTTTGTACACAGTTATCGATCTTTCAAGCAACAAATTTGAAGGACATATTCCTTCTGTCCTGGGAGATCTCATAGCGATCCGTGTGCTTAATGTATCTCATAATGCATTGCAAGGCTATATACCATCATCACTTGGAAGTTTATCTAGAGTGGAATCACTAGACCTTTCGTTTAACCAACTTTCTGGAGAGATACCACAACAACTTGCTTCTCTTACGTTTCTTGAATTCCTAAATCTCTCCCACAATTATCTCCAAGGATGCATCCCTCAAGGACCTCAATTCCGTACCTTTGAGAGCAATTCATATGAAGGTAATGATGGATTACGTGGATATCCAGTTTCAAAAGGTTGTGGCAAAGATCCTGTGTCAGAGACAAACTATACAGTGTCTGCGCTAGAAGATCAAGAAAGCAATTCTAAATTTTTCAATGATTTTTGGAAAGCAGCTCTGATGGGCTATGGAAGTGGACTGTGTATTGGCATATCCATAATATATTTCTTGATCTCGACTGGAAATCTAAGATGGCTTGCAAGAATCATTGAAGAACTGGAACACAAAATTATTATGCAAAGGAGGAAGAAGCAGCGAGGTCAAAGAAATTACAGAAGAAGAAATAATCGCTTCTAGACAAGTTACCAAATACAGAAAGATTTGATTTCAGAACTTCAGGTATTCAAGCTAAGCTCTTACACTAATCTTTTTTAGTTTATTCTAACAACTAATATATAGTTTTTTTTTATCAACAAATACTTATTAACGCTTGATACAAATTGCTAGTAATCAGTTGGAAGCTGTGATATATAACAAAGGCTAAAAATTTATAGTTGTGTGACTCACTTTCTTATTTTTTCAGATTTTCAGGAGCCAAGAATTAGAAGACGCTGGTGTAAAGGATTTGCTTCTTCCTATGTTGCAGCTTATGATTGTTGGATTTGATTTTTAGTTTTATAAGGTTTTCTTCAGTTGGGAAAATGTAATATTTTGAATTTTGATGATATACAATAAATGTTGTGTTTGTTGAATGATCTGTATGCATTTATCGGATCAATAATACTCACCTCAAAGAATCTAAGAGAGTTAGCGCACGATAGAAGAGATAGAACATACAAAGAAGAATACATTACAACCTTGGGCTTTACTGGTTATCTTACACCCCAAAGCTTGTTATTATGGAGGGAAAGGCCAAGTTTTATTTTTAGATATGGGGAGCCTTGGCGTGCTGGTAAGGTTGTAGTGGATAAGGTAACTTCTCCTGTTAATGAATTGAATGATCATAGCAGAGATGTGTTTAAAATTTCTGTTGTATTAGTTTGTAATATTTGGAGGTCTTAAATTGAACAGATGCACATCTGTTCGTGAAAGAGCATGACTATTCTTATAAGTCAACTCTCAAGTTCTATAAATATAAGGACTCCTAAAGTAGCATAAGAAAAAACTGCAGTATACTAAGGCACTGTTGGATCCTGAAGGGAATCGCTGGTAACCCCCTAAACAACATACGTTATATTGGTGGGGGTAGAAGGTACCCAGTGAAATAATCTAGGTTTGCATAGGTTGCCTGCAAACAACAATTATTAAACAAAATCCACACACACTAGCACATGAGAGTAAAAAATTTAATGACGAGATGAAAGAAACTCACGCCAAGATGGACTTTATCAAACAACAAATACATTGTTTGTACCTTTTGGACAACCATTTATCACTCAAAGAAGATCAAGGATTGATGCATTACATCGTTCTTGGAACAAAATTATGTACATAAAACTTACAGGAATCATGTTTTGTGTGTGGTAAAACTCCATAAGGACTAGTCCAAGATACTGAGATCAAGGATTTCTAAGTGCAGCCAATCTCTTCTCCAGTTCATCGATCCCCGAACTGCCAGCACGAAAGCACAACAACAAAATGTACATGAGCGAGTTACTGAGATCAAAGAGCATGAAAAAGGCACTTCATACTAATATGATACAATTATTTACAGGAAGAAAAGAAAAATAGGAAACCGAACCGCAACATACTTTATCTATTAACGAGCAGTGCACTCAAGATAACTAGTATTTTTGCTCGAGGATACAGTAGTACTTGAGTCAAATTTAGATCATCATTTACCATTATTGCCTAGTTATAATAGTTCCTATTATGTATTCCGTTTTTAGTCTCTTAACTCTCCTTTTCAATTTTTTAAAGTAGCCCAGACAAAGTTGGCTACAATTTTTGTGGTTTTAATTGTTTCACCAAATTGGTAAGTTTGAACAGCCAAGAATTACACTCAATTTGTTGAGCTTGGTGAAATGAAACTGATAGCTCAGATCAACGGCTCCAACACCAAGATAGTTGAGTGAAGACTAGCACGGCTTTAACCTGGCTCGCAATTTCTAGCGAAGGACGCATGTTAGTGAAACCTAGCCCGGTTGGTTCTTCCTGTTTCAAATAACTGAGAAACATGTTGTTTCTAGCTTTAAACTTGGTGGATATTCGAGCCTCTTCCCACTATCCTTCTCCATTAAAATACCAAACTTAATTCACCAACAGAATTTGAACTCATGTTGTGTGCCTATCACACATTCTTCTTCGTTACACTACCTTTATTGTTAAACCAAAGCCCTCTTAGCCTAAACATTTTTTTTGGAACTGTGGTATCCGTGTCAGATTGCATGCACCTCGACTAATTCCACGAGATTCCTGTCACCTCCCACCACTAACATGTATCATGTCACTCTGTCCACCAAAGCTAGAACAGATGGGAAGAGATCACCTAGTGTTTTTGTCTCTGTCGGGATTTGAACTTGAGACTTAAAGGTATTCAAACCACATGATTGACCAGTAGGCCAAAACCTTGGGTGCACTTACTTGTTTATTTATTTATTTACTATTGGCTCCACAGGTTTATCTCTCAAACAAGCATGTGAGCGAAGGAAAAGGGAAATAAAGTAAGAAAAAAAACCATATCAAAAGAAAATGAAGACGAACCTGCTTGATTCCTCAGTCCTTTTTCCAGCAATTTTTCCCTTGGGAGCCGCTGACAACTGTCCATATTAAAACACAGGATATTCAATTTTACACGGTAATTGTCGGAGCCCAACTCATTTCCTTCTTTTAAGTGGGAATACTGCTAGTTCCAATCTGAACCAATAATGAAAAACTAACCTGTGAGGCAACATCAATTCCAATTTCATCAAGGACCTGCAAAAATAAGACTGAGTTAATGTGCAAGAATCTGATAAGTAGGTGGGACCATGTGTATACAACTTTTTTCTTCGGTAACAGTGAATGTGTATAGAAATTTAGTATATACATATTTTAATGCACTTCAATAATTGTTTGATTTCAAGCAAGAATATTCCACATTCAATCGTCATCCCATTTTCAATTAAAACACATATCCATCACCATTTGAATCTGAGATCCTAAATACACTCTACTGAACCTCTAAACAATTAAAAAGGTCCAAAATATATCCCATCGCAGTTTCCACCTTTAGAGCGAGGGACATATTTGGACCTTTTTTATTTCAGGAGTATATTTGTGATAAATATAACGTTGGGGGCTTTTATGAGCTGATAGATTAGCGAATGACATATATAAGACATATCACAAATGTTAGGGGCATTTTTTGCCATTTTCCATAAAAGAATCCAGAATAATACATTCTATAAAGAAGACAATGATCATGCAGACACCCATAATGACAGCAATCAGTACTTAATGGATATTTTCAATTAAATCAACTACTAAGATAGCATAAAGTAAATACACATTGCTTGGTGCATGTCCACTAACTATTTTCAGTCATTACAAAATGGGGATTTTAAAAGCATACCTGATTTGTCAAATCTTCAGTTTCCTCTTCTGCTTCGTCATCATCTATAGCATCATCTATGGCATCTGACATCATTTCAGTCTACATATACGAACACCATATTAATGAGTTGACTTCTAATAATCTGAGTGGACATGAAGGAGCTATGATTTTATTTTAAAATCAGTAATAATGTGCAATCAGTCTTACCGTCATATCCAATTGAGCTGATTGCTTCTGGAAATCTTGCATCACCTTCGCTTGCTTTGCAGGGTCCATTTGCTGCATTGAGTCAACTAATAATAGTTAAAATTTAGAAGGAATGATGGTGACTTCACATACAACACAAATGCCATGTTTTAATGAGTAATATGAAAATAAATAAAATAATGGAGGTAACAAGAAAAAGGAACAAAGAAAAGAGGAGTCGAGAAACACGAAAGGATCAAACTGCTAGTCCCAATATAACCCACATCTTTAATTTATCCACAAGGACCTAAGAGGGTTCAAGAGAACACGAAGTAGCGTCCCACCAACAACATCATACCTAGTGTAATCTCACTGAAGAGTGCAGGAACCCTCTCATCATGAGATCCATCTCCATGTATATGAAGATGAACACAACAACAACATACCTAGTGTAATCCCACAAATGGTGTCTGGGGAGGGTGGGTATACGCAAAGCTTACACCTACCTTTGTGGGTAGAGAGGTTGTTTCTGATGCACCATCGGCTCAAGAAAGATAATTTTCAAAGAAGTGAAAGCGTAAAAAAGTTACGATGAAATAATAAAGACAAAGAAGTTCTGACATCAAATAGTAAAGAAAACCAAAGAACAAGAAACTACAATAGTAATAAAATAAAATTGGAGAATAAGATAATGCTAGCACAATAGTGTGATAATACTGGCCAATAAGTCCCATTGGAGGAGTTTACAAAGTGTTTGCCAAGCTCCTGGCAGAGAGAATGAAGGTGGTAATTAGCAAGCTAGTCAACAGGCATGAAACGGCCTTCATCCAGGGGAGACAAATTCTAGATGCAGCCTTAATAGCAAGTGAATGTGTTGATTCAAGGATCAAAGGTGAAACCCTAGGGATCATGTATAAGCTTGATATTGAGAAGGCTTATGATCATGTGGATTGCAAGTTTCTTCTCAATATTTTGAAATAAATGGGGTTTGGAGAAAAATGGTTGAAGTGGATAGAATTTTGTATTAAAACTGTTCGGTTCTCTATTTTGGTGAATGGAGAACCAATTGGTTTTTTTCCCTCAGAAAGAGGACTGAGGACTGAGACAAGGTGATCCTCTTTCTCCTTTCCTTTTCATTTTAGCTATGGAAGGACTAAATAGTATGGTGAGGGTAGCCACTCAAAAGAACTGGCTAAAAGGTTTCAAGGTGGGCAACCAAGCCGGAGTAGATGTACAGATTTGTCATCCTCTATGCAGATACTATGATCTTTTGTGAGGCCAAGGAAGAGCAGGTATGTTTCATCAGGGGCTTTCTGTGAATTGGAGGAAGAGTAGTATGTTCCAAGTTAAAGATGTATCTAATATTCAATGCCTGGCAAATATTTTGAGTTGCAAAGTAGAAAATCTGCCAACTACATACCTGGGGATGCCACTGGGTAACACCCACAAAGAGTTAGAGATATGGGATGGAGTAGTGGAAAAAAAAAATTGTCTGTCGAAATGCTTCGAGATATGTTTAACAGTTCTACCAATTAAAAAAGAAAATCCTCCCAGGCACGGAATCCAATGTAATTTTTAAATCAACTCCCAACCTTTATCCCCTCCGGCAATCCTTCTGATCACCGGAATCCTCCCTCCCTCTTTGGGTACATTCTAATGTACTCAAACTCGATCAACTTTTTGGGGTTGCTTTTGAAGGATGTGATAAGGCGGCTTTTGATCTATTTCTGAGAATTGATCAAAAGAGGGGGGATTTGAGGCAGAAGGTGGAGACAACACCAATCAAAGCAAAGAACACAATCCCTAAGGAGATAAGAAATTTGGAATTTCATGTTAAGTTTAAAGAAGGGGAATCAAGAAACAAGGGGAGAATAACAAACACAAATTTCCAATGAAAGTCAAAATCCTTTCTTGGAATGTAAGGGGGGTAAATGGAGAAGAAAAAAGGGGGACAGTTGGGAGATTATTCCAACAATTGGGGGCTGATATTTATGTTCTGGTTGAAACAAAATTGGGAGGATCGGAGGTGAATGTTTTCAAACAATTATGGCAAAATAGATGGATGGGGGAACTTCATTTGGATGCTATAGGCAGAAGTGGTGGAATCGTAGTGATTTGGGATAAACGGGTGTGGAGAGGAGAGTTGGTAATAGCTGCAAACCAAATGGTGACCTGCAAGTTTGAAGGCATTAATCAGGCATTCACATGGTTCCTTTCAGCTGTGTATGCCTCGTGTGATCCAATAACTAGAAGAGAACTTTGGCAAGAATTCATCAACATCAAAGAACTGTGTAATGGGACTAGGGTAGTGTGTGGAGATTTTAATGCTACAAGTACCCAAATGAAAGATCAGAAGGGCATAAGAATTACTTCACCAATGACTGAATTCTCTGATTGGATTAATGAGATGGAGTTTATCGACCCTCCTTTATTTGGGGGGTCTTTTACCTGGAAAAGGAGGGGACAATCACATGTCTGCTTCCAGAATTGATAGGTTTTTATTCTCTCCCCAGTGGGATGAGACCTTCACACGGATAAAACAGAGCATGCTTCCCAAAATAGGTTCTGATCACAATCCAATTTTGCTCGATTGCAGAGATTTAAATTTGAAGAAGTCTTACTTCAAGTTTGAACAATGGTGGTTAAGGGTGGAGGGTTTCGCAGACAAAGTTAAAGATTGGTGGGCATCTTTTAATATCACGGGTACGGGCTCTTATGTCCTAGCCACCAAGTTGAGGATGCTTAAGGGGAAGCTAAAAGAACGAAAACGGGAGAATAGGAACAATTGGAATCAGAGAAAAGAGGAAATCTTAAATCAGTTGTCAATTTTAGAAAAGACTCAAGAGTCGAGATTACTATCAGAGATGAGTTACTTCAGAAAGTACACCTTTCAATGGAGTTTGAAGATGTTACAAAAAACGAGGAAATAGCTTGGAGGCAGAGGTCTAGAATACACTGGCTCAAACACGGAAACAAAAATACCAAGTATTTTCACCGGATGGCTACAGCTCATAAAAGATTCAACACCATTGACAAGCTGATGGTTGAAGGGGTTACAGTAACAGATTCAGAAGAAATTAAAGGAACTATAATCAATTACTATCAAAATCTTTACAGAGAAACAGAACAATGGAGGCCAGAATTTAAAGTACAGCGAGCGGAAAGCATTACACGAGGAAAATGTATGGCTGCAGAGGCAATTTGAGGAAGAGAAAAATTTAAATTGCATAAAAGCATGTGCTAGTGATAAGGCCCCCGGATCAGATGGCTTTCCGATGAGTTTTTTCCAAAACTTCTTGGAGATACTGAAGACAGACTTCACTTCATGAATGCAGTGAGACAATTTCATGAAAGACATGAAATGGAGAAGAGTCTCAATGCCACCTATTTGGCTCTAATCCCAAAAAAGAAAGGAGCTTTGGAACTTAGGGATTTCAGACCCATCAGTCTCATTAGTGGAGTGTACAAGGTTTTTGGCAAGCTGTTGGCAGAGAGATTAAAGAAAGTGATAAGCAAATTAGTGAATAATCACCAAATGGCCTTCATTCAAGGAAGACAAATTATGGATGTCGCGTTAATAGCAAGTGAGTGTGTAGACTCAAGGATTAAAGGAGAGATCCCACGAATCATGTGCAAGCTTGATGTAGAAAAGGCATATGCTCATGTCAAATGGGAGTTTCTACTTAATATACTGAGGCAGATGGGGTTTGGAGACAAATGGCTTAAATGGATAGGATTTTGCATCAAAACTGTTAGGTTCTCCATACTTGTTAATGGAGAACCTGCTGGTTTTTTTCCTTCTGAGAGAGGTTTATAACAAGGAGACCCTCTCTCCCCTTTCCTTTTTGTTTTAGCTATGGAGGGTCTTAACAGTATGATTAGAGTGGCCAATCAGAAGGACTAGATAAAGGGTTTCAACATTGGTAATCAGTCAGGGGTCAATTTGCAGATAAGTCACCTTTTATATGCAGACGACATACTAATATTTTGCGATACAAAGGCTGAACAAGTTAGTTACATTAGAGTTGTTTTTGGTGTTTTTGAGGTCGTCTCCAGACTAGCTGTGAACGGGGGGAAAAGCAGCATCTTCCAAGTCAAGGAAGTGGCAAATATTTTAGATGTTGGCAAGCATCTTGCAATGCAAGATAGAGCACTTACCAACTACTTACCTGGGAATGTCTTTGGGGAATAATCATAAGGAGCTGGTGATTTGGGATGGAATCATTGAGAAGACAGAGAAGAGGTTGGCTAACTGGAAGGCAAACTATCTATCTCTGGGAGGAAGAGTCACTCTGATCAATTCGGTCCTAGATGCATTGCCTACATATGTTATGTCTCTTTTCCCTTTACCAGCAAAGGTAGAAGAGAGGTTGGATAAATTGAGGCGTGATTTCCTATGGTCGGGGAACAAAGAAGGAAAAAAATACACTTAGTTAAATGGCAGACAGCCTTACAAAGCAAGAAGACAGGGGTCTTGGCATAAAAAATCTGAGGGTCCAGAACAAAAGTCTACTTTCTAAATGGCTTTGGAGATTTGTGGTTGAAGATCAGGCATTATGGAGAAGAGCAATTCTCAACAAGTATGGGCAGAACCGAGGAGTGGATGTCTAACGTAGTAGATAGCACGTATAGGGTATCAGTTTGGAGATCAACCAAAAATTTATGGGATAGTCTAAAGAAGAATTTGGTGCTCAAGGTGGGAGAGGGTAACAAAGTATTTTTTTGGAAGGACAAGTGGATTGGATAAGAGTGTCTAACACGGTTTTCCCCGATCTCTTCTCGTTTTGCACCAATCCTGAGGCTAAAATTTCTGAGATTTGATCTCCTCAGGGATGGAACCTCACCTTCAGGAGAAATCTAAATGATTGGGAAGTGGATAGAATTGCTGAACTGCTACTCAAATTGGGTGAATTCACGGGCCTTATTACAGAAGCAGATGGTATAAGATGGAAACATGACTCTGATGGCAAGTTCTCTGTACGTAGATTGTATAGGAGAGAGGACATGACTCACTCTGGGGGAATTCATGGTCCATGGAAACAAATATGGGAGGGCAACACCCCAACCAAGGTGAAATGCTTCACCTGGTTGGTCACCACAAGGGCATGTCTCACTCAGGAGAAACTCAGAAAAAGAGGCTTCCAGATTGTCTCCAGATTTTCTTTTGTCATGAGAAGGAAGAAACTAAAAACCACTTATTCCTACACTGTAGGGTTACTATTCAGATGTGGCGCATGGTATACATCATTTCTCAAGAGCCTTGGGTGATGCCAGAACATACTGCTGATCTTTTGAGTTGCTGGAAGAAGAGGGAGAAAGACACAAAAAAATGGTGGTCTATAGTACCAGCTTGTGTCTGGTGGGCAATTTGGAGAGAAAGAAATCTTAGGTGTCATGAGAATATTACTAACACTATGCAGAAAGTTAAAGAAAATTGCATTAATATGTTTCTTTTTTGGTGTAAAGAAAAGGGTATAGAAGTAGCAGAACAGTTGGTAGATTTCCTAGGATCAATGTAATTATGGTTTTAGCTTGTAATTTTTTGGAGGTAGCCAGCATACCCTTAATGCTGAAGAATACAACTTTAACAATCAAAAAAAAAAGAGAGAAAAAATTAGCCACCTGGAAGACCCGATACCTTTCCTTCGTAGGAAGAATTACATTGACCAATGCAGTCCTGGATGCCCTACCAACTTATGTTATGTCCCTTTTACCCCTACCTGCGAAAGTGGAGGAGAGATTGGATAATTTGAGGAAGTTCCTCTGGTTGGGTAACAAGGAAGGAAAAGGTATTCACCTGGTCAAATGGCAAACTGTACAACTTAGTAAGAAAGCTGGTGGGCTGGGTGTTAAGAACTTGGGGCTACAAAACATATGTCTTTTATCAAAATGGTTGTGGAGGTTTGGTAAAAGAGGATCATGCTCTTTGGAAGGATGTTATCATCAGCAAATACGAACAGACTGAGCAATGGACAGCCAACACTGTGACTAACACTTATGGGGTCTCAGTTTGGAGAACTATCAGAAATTTGTGGCCTAGATTGTCCGGGAGCATAGGTTATAAGGAGGGTGAAGGGACTCGAATTCTATTCTGGAAAGACAAATGGATCAGCCAGAACTCCCTCATGGAGGATTTTCCAGATTTATTTTTCTTTCTGTGACAGTCCTGAAGCATCCACTGCTAAGATCTGGACTAACCAAGGATGGAATATCATCTTTAGGAGGCTTCTAAATGACTGGGAGATTGAGAGTGTGGCCAGCTACTGCAAAGGTTGTATGATTTCTCTGGTTTAAATACCAGCCCTGATACAATCAAATGGAGACACGATAGAGATGGAGAATTTTCAGTCGGAAGATTATACAGAAGAAATCTGATCTCACAACCTAGGAACATCCCTGGACCTTGGAAACAAATATGAAAATCTAATATCCCTACCAAGATTAAGCGTTTCACATGGAAGGTATGTAGAAGAGCATGTCTCACTTAGGAGAAACTGAAAAAGAGAGGTTTTGAGATTGTCTCAAGGTGCTTCTTTGCAAGGAAAAGGAGGAAACAAATAACCATTTGTTCCTCCATTGTAGAGTGACTTCTCAGGTGTGGTATATGTTTCTTAGTCTCATCCAAAAACCATGGGTGATGCCTGAGCATACGGCAGATCTTCTAACCTGCTGGAAGAGAAGAGGTGGGAGTAAAAATCAGAAAAAATGGTGGAGCCTAGTTCCTTCTTGCATATGGTGGTCAGTCTGGAAGGAAAGAAACAATAGATGTTTTGAGAATATTACTAATCCAATGCAGAAAGTAAAAGAAAACTACATTAATACTTTATATCTTTGGTGTAAAGAAGAGGGTATAGATGAGGTAGAACAGCTAGTAGACTTCTTAGGCTATCCGTAATTACAATTACTTGCACTGTAATTAAAGAAACAATTGATGTTTTGAGAATATTACTAATCCAATGCAGAAAGTAAAACAAAACTACATTAATACTTTATATCTTTGGTGTAAAGAAGAGGGTATAGATGAGGTAGAACAGCTAGTAGACTTCTTAGGCTATCCGTAATTACGATTACTTGCACTGTAATTTTTTTGACATTGCTGAGGAATACAACTTTACCTTGCTAAAAAAAATAGTGATAATACTGGCAAGGGAGTGGATAGGTGCTCTAGGCTTGACCCATGCTCTACCATTGGAAAGGGAGAGATCGCTCGACTACATACTAACCATATACCCTAATCTTTGACCTCCATGCTCTCCTTTCTAGGGTCATGTCCTCGTTAGCTCAAATGTGTCTTGTCGTGTCGAATCACCTCTCCCCAATTCTTCCTCGGCCTACCTCTCCTTAGACCTATCATTGTCAACCTCTCGCACCTCCTCATTGGGGCGTTGTGCTCTCTTCACAAGCCTAAACCATCTCTGACTCGCTTCCCGCATTGTATCCTGCATGGAGGCCATCCCACCTTGTCCCGTATATTTATTCCAAACCTTGTCCCTCCTAGTATGCCTAAACATTCATCAAAAGCATCCTCATTTATTCTACCTTCACCATCTGAATGTGAGAGTTCTTAATAGGACAACACTCAACCACGTACAACAAGGCTGGGCTAACAACCGCTCTATAGAACCTACCTTTAAGTCTCAGTGACACATTTTTATTCCGTAAAACGCTAGGTCCGAGCTTCCATTTCATCCACCATGCTCCAATATGATGCGAGACAACCTCATCGGTCTCCCCATTTCCTTGAATTATAGCCACGTGCGTATGAAGATGAGTTAATATTTCATTCTGTTTTTAAGAATAAAAACAACAGAGATTTTTTTTTTGTTTCATTCTCTCATACAACAACAAACCCAGTGCAGTCCCAAAAGTGGGTCTAGGAAGGATAGAGTGTATGCAGATCTCTCAAACAAACAAATGGAAATATTAAATTAGATATCATGATCTTTGGACATCAAACCTTATTCATAGCAGTCATAGCCTTAGTGGCTCCTTTCATGCCTGAAGCAACCGAAGATTGGGCAGATATTGCCTGCAATGGGCATTAAGCTTTTCAAATGCATCCGTAAAAGAGGAATGAGGAACTGAAATCAGTAAGCATGTAACATGAACTTGGAGGAGTACCTGTGTGTGAGTCGCTATACCTCTCATTTGAGCCCGACTACCTTGCAAGTTCGCTATTTGCTGTCTAAGCCTGATTAACTGACGTGCTAGAACTTTTGTTGCTGTCTGAAAATGCAGAGAGAAAAGCAGATGACACATGAGTTCCAAATGATATGGTACCATCTGAGTATTCAGCTGTTACTTAAGCAGCAACACGATAAATTACAATAACTAATTAAGTCTCCAGGGATGATGCTCGAGACCCACCTCATTTCCAGTTTTAGCAGTCCTTTTTATTTCAGCAACAAGTTTTTTTTCCTGTTCCATGAAAGAAAGAAATAAAAATATCTCTTAATGATGTGATATCATGTGAAGAACCATAAGTAAAGTAAGTGTGATATACATGAAAAGTTTACTAGCTCTAAAATCGCAAAAAAAAAGTGTATCTCATGAACACACACTATGCACTTTCAAGAACAGTCATCAGAATCAAGATCTGGACATACCTCTGATTGTAAAGCGGAAATTTCCTTCTCAATACCTACATCGCAATATTAAAACTAAATTAAATTACTCAACAGATACTTACAAGAAGCACTTGCAAACCAAAAAGAAAATTGTGGATATCAGTGTGATGATCTTCCTAACTTGCTCTCTATCCAGTTCACCAACATGTTAAAGCTAACATAAAGTTGCCCAAGTAGAACGGATGGCATATGTATATTCATTTGAAAGAAATGGGTAATGAAAGAAATTTGTCCATAGTTACAAAAAATGCGTGAGCCAATCCAGGCAGTGGATAATTTAGTTCCCCCCATCCCCAAAGATACTTTGCACAAGAACCTAGCAACACACAATTAAAGACATTACAGTATACCCCAATCTCTAGTAGACACAATAATGAATTTCCTAAATGCAATCGGTAATCCATCCTAAACAAAGATCAAGAACATCTTTCACATCCTTGCGCAAGTAGAAAGGCCTTGGTTGAACGTAATAACACTGTTGTGGCACCCAAGGGTGTGGCCTAGTGGTCAATGAAGTGGGTTGAAAACCATGAGTCTCAGATTCCTTCCCATTAGGAGGCAAACAACTAGGTGATTTCTTTCTTATCTATCCAAGCCTTGGTGGATAGAGTAGTACATGTGTTAGTGCCATGTAGAATTAGTCAAGGTGTGTGCAATGCCAAGACACTATGGTTATCCAAAAAAATATTTAGAACGTTTGTCATTTATGATACAAGTAGCTATTGCAGAAGACACTTAATAAAAACTGGAGCATCTTATTATACAAGGTATATCAGGCCAATTTAAACAAAGATTCAAAAAGACCAACTCTTGTTTGGAAGACCTTCCAAAGGCTTTCGTGTGTGTGGATATTGAGATCAATAAACTTGTTAAATCCTCTGCCAGTGAGTTACTCTATTTACTTCCTAAGCCTGTAGAGTTACTGTTTATCTCACTTGTATACCTCAGGTTTACAAAAACTTTACTTTCTTTTCTGATTGGAATTAATAATACTTTCTGTCAACTATCCAAACCTATATCGGCATAGCTCATAAAGCCCCCACAATATCATCTAGTACCAATGACCTAACAATTTAATGTCATATCAACTGTGTCTCAATCCAAACTATGCAGGGTACAATATGAGTTCCTCGTATTTAGAGCATTCACATCATAGTTTTGACTATTTTTACATTGGTCATGCATCAACCAACTGCAAGTCTCTTCCTTTTACAACTATGTAATGGTCTAATGTATTCAAAAAAAAAAAGTTACAGCGAGAATGAAATGCAAAGGTCGAATATGATCATACAATTCAAATACTACCTTGCCCCTTATATTTTTTCTCATCATTCTACACATTATCAAATCATGGAAAAGGTGAAGAAAAGGCCAATGATAAATGAAATAAAATTGGAATAACTAATCACGGAAGTTATAACAATTGAGGTAATGCAGTTTCAGCCAGACAATATTTAAAGATAGTGTGTACCTTTCAACATATTAAAACTCCCAATTGAATTTACTAGAACATATATATATATATATAGTGGAAGATGTAGTTTATTAACAACAGGTTAACCCGAACCAACTATTTGGATACAGAACATGGATATATATGTGTGTGTGTCTTTTGTGTGTGTTTAACCACCAAAATTTCAACAATATTCCCTCCATTTCAATCGGTTTGTCTTACGTTCTTCCAAGTCAGTCCTTTTCAAAAAAAAAAAAAGTCTCTTTCGGCAACTCTTCAATTCTAACTTTTCACGTGGCATGTTTAATATCATTGTATTCTAACTGAAACAAAAGGAGTATTATATTCCCAACCATAATTTCAGAAGTCGAATAAGTTATGTGTACGAACATTAAAGACAAAAACCCGTCAAATTTAAATCTTTGATTCACTTCTGCACATATACATATAGTTCAATTTCGAGACAATGGATGTCCTATGAACTCAATGTATCTTGTTTCCAGGGGAAAGGAGGAACAAAAGTTTAAAACCGTTTTACCTCTGGTGGCATGAGTCAGTTCTCTTCTACTTTCCCTAAGCGCTTCTGTCATAAAAAATAAAAATCAAATCTTTAGCTCAATATTATGAATGATCAAACACCAAGAATCATAAAAACTCAATTTTTTTTAAGAGGTTCCAACAATCAATCAACTAAACCTCAATCCCACAAAATGGGGTCTGGTGAGGAGGGTAGAGTGTACTCCATACCTCAAGATAACCCCAAATCAGTATTCTAAGGCAACAATAACATAAACAAACAAACAAAAAATTGACTTTTGATGAAATTTAGAAGTTAAAAATCGAACCTTTGGCATTGGGTTTCTTGGAAAAGATGTTCATATTGATTAAATCAAACAACAAATATTAAAATTATGGAAAATTGGGATTCTGAGTCTTCTGATAATTGGGAGAGAAGAATGGAAGCTGCAAGGAATTTGTATCTTTTCATATTTTTAACTCAAGCAGACGACAAGTATTTTTTTTTCTTCCAAAGCCCCCAAAAGTTTTGGTTATTATATTAGTAAACCACAAAATTCTAAGGTGCGTCAATTTGGTAGTCGGTTAGAATTACGCTATAAATCTTTTATATAAAAATTTATATATATACTCCCTCCGTCACATATTAGATAAACATCTTTCTAAAAATATTTATCCAATACTCTCTTTGTCCTTAATTATTTATCTTTTTTTTTAATTGTCCCTAATTACTTATTTATTTTGACAAATTAATAAGAAAATTTTTTTTACCTATTATAATCTCAGTTAATCATCATATCATATATTATTATAAGCATGAAGCCTCAAAGATAAAAATTGAAAGACCAATTTATCCCTAAATATCAAAATATTGAACCACATTTATTATTTGATAATTAAACAATTCTCTTAACCAAATTGTAAAAAAAAAACTTAAAACAATTAAAACGTCTATTCAAATTTCTGCCATTATTGTGCTCTACATTTACCAATGCAAATTTTACTAAATATTGTTATTTAATCTTTAAAAATAAGTTATCCCTTCAATATTAACTACAATGTTTTAAAACATTTCATATCCATGGTTACTAATTTAATGATAAAACTCAAAAATCTGTAACTAATCCATTAGTTAGGTAAATATTACATGGATATTAAGATGTAAAACATAACTGAAATGAAACTTGAGTGGCTAAAGCGGAAGATCAAATGAAGAAAGAGATTACTCTTGATGAAATTTTACGAATAGAATAAGCCAAGGGAAGAAAAGATATGTAATTGATTCAACGTTTGGAGAGAAAATTCCTGAAGAATGGACTACGTACTTATATTATTATAAGTGAGAAGCTCCAACATAGAAAAATTGGATTACCATTTTGCTCTTAGACTAAATAAAAATATTATAAAACATGTAAATAATAAAATATTAAAAGTTGAGTAGTCATTTTAAAAACAAGTTATTTATCCGTAATTTAACTACATTGATAGAAATCTTTCATATCCCCATTAATTAACTTAATACAGATTACTTGAACTCAATTTATAATCCTACTGATTTATATCTCACATTTACTATTTTTTACCTTGAGCTTCCAAAAGTTATATGAACTTTTCATGTTCCTTGTTAAATAGAATTGGAGCAATATATAGTCATGTGCACTGATTTTCTACAACTCAAGTCACATTAATCTTTCATCTTTAAGCTTTATATAATACTGATCAAAAAGGAAATAATGTTACATAAAACGGGACGGAGAGATATATAGATCATTAGCAGCTATCATATATTATTACAAGTGGGAAGCTCCAAAGTAAAAAGTTGAATTATCATTTTATTCTTTTAATAAATTAAAATTTAATTAATTATTTAATTAAATACAAATATTTTAATTACATTATGATAGAATTTAAGTCATTAAGCCTTTTAATAATAAAAACTTACCAGAAGCATGCTGAGCAATGGGTCTCGCAAAATGGTCCAACTCGCCTTTTCTGCAAGATGAACCTTTTAATGATGATTTCGAGAAGACCTCTTAAGGTGCATGACACAAGAAGAATTTTCTTAAGGTGCATGAAACTAGAAGGAAAATTAAAAACCAAAGATACTCCCACAATTAAGTATGGATGTGATAAGTTTTTTTTGGGTTAAATTATCTTTAATAATTTCATTCTCTTCAACTTCTTAACTTAAATAATTTCATTCTCTTCATTTTCTTAGCTTTAATAATTTGATTCTCTTCAACTTCCCTTACCTAAAATTCCTTATTTAAAGTCACATTAAAGAACACCAAATTTGTAAATCTCCAGATTTACAAATTTGAACATTTTACTCCAATGTATGCCAGATTTTCTCCGATTAAGAACTATTTTCTCATTTTTCTTTTATCATTTTTGTTTCTTTATTTTTACTTTTTTTGGTAACTTTACAGTAGATCTTTTAGGTACAGAAGAAAAAAAGTATCATTGTATTGGGGATGGTACCATTAGTGTTGCATTTGGATCACAGACGTCATCATATGTGATAATATTGATAGACAGAAAATGAATGTTTAGAAGGGTTCTATAAATTTTTATAACTATGTATGGATTAGAATAAAATAAACATATATACTCTCTTATACATCGATAGTTTTTATAATTTTTTAGTATTTAGTTTAATTGATGTAGATGAAGGATACATATCTCCGGAAGATGTTTGAAAATGTTCCAAGAATTCAAATTTTGGTATCATTTCATGTAAATTGGTTTCTTTGTAAGTGATTTTTATTTTTATTCTTAAAATTTTCTTTTTTTGTTTTCAAATTGGATATGTGATCTACGTGGAAGTGTGTAATGAGAGATTATTGAGGATATGTTATATCGACATATTCTATTATTACATGTAATATTATCTGATTACAAATTTATTATTCAAATGTTATGGATTTTATTTAATGAATATAATGTAAATGATAAAGTAAATAAAATTATTTGAGCATTTTCTATATAATAATCCAATAATATTGAATAAACGTGCAACGCACGTTCCCAAGGACTAGTATGCCATAAAAGTTTGAATATATAATATATTGTTGATTGGTAACTACTTTATTCCTCTTATGTTCATTTTAGTTCTCAAAAATATATATTTAATATATGAAGATTTCCTTCAGTTTGCTAAATAGCTTTTTTTTCTTCTATATTTCAGATTTTATTTGGCAATTGTACGCCCTCTCATTTCTCACCATCAGGTACATAATGGATACGCTATTTACAACTCTCTCTCTCTCTCTCTCTTTTTTAATCAATTTTATTATTTCACATACATAAAATATAGTTTGTACGAAATGTGATATAGAGATAAGATTTTTGAGATTTGAGAAATTGTGTTAATAATTTTCAGGATATTTAGATCTTAACTTTTTAACATCTTTTAACTTTTTATATCAAGTCTCTTGTTCTTTAATAAGGATTGATTCTTATTATATTTCGTAATGCAATTATACTTAAAAAATAAAAGTAATACTCTTATGTCAAATTTTCATAAAAAGAAAATGTTCTTGAATAGAGATTGATTCTTATTATATTTCGTAATAAGATTATATTTCAACCATATAAATAATATATTTATGTTAAAGAAATTCCAATCTTGATTCAATTAAATGATACATGTAGGTGCAATTCTAATCAATATATATTGATTCATTTTATCTTAATCAGAATATAATTACTACTTTTTTGAAGGTGTATACTATAAAAATGACAATGTTTTTCTAGTCATATTAAAGAAGATGTATGTTGATCAACTTTCTGTTCAACATTTGCAATATATTACTTTCATTCGACAACAACTTCTTGTTATGCATACAACTATAAGAGGAGAAATTTCAAATTTTTAAAAAAATATAAAGAAGTTTTATAATGATAATAATACGGAATAAACGTGTAGAGCACGTTCCCAAAGACTAGTTAGTTTTAAAAACGTAGAATTTCTTAAAAATCTTAAGTTTTCATAATTAATAGAGGTAAAATGATAAACTCATTATATCAATAATTATTTTCTTACTATTATTCGCATAACACTTAACACAACAATCAAACAACCCCTAAAATAATTAATTCATGAAAAAATAATTATTTTCTTGCTTCAATAGTAAAACTATACTGATTTTATTATTATTGAATATATACTTGTCATCTCTTTCGAACCCATATTTTTTTTTGAAATATATAACTTAGTCAATTGATACTATAATGAATCTCTTGTTCTTTCCTTATTTGACACCAACAATGAGCACCTCAACATAGATCGCGCGCGTTAACTAGAACTCCTATTACACCAAAGGTCAACTTCAATTTTATCAAATTAGAATTCATCTTGTGTAGTCATTATAAACTCGTATAAAGATATTGAGTAGATAATTGATGTATCAGACTCGATACTTCAAAAGAATGGAGGAGAAGACGATCTGCAGCTAAAAGTGTGCATGAAGACAATATATGAAACAACTGAGAGAAAACATTCTTTGAAACAAACACTTCACCATTCATAGATCAGAAAACTAAATTCCCAGCAAGTCTAAAACAAGCAAAAATGGAAAAGATGAATAAAAGAGTCAAATGTAATCTATATTTCCAAATGTGTCACTACTTAAAAAAAGCTCTTAGCTTCTGTCTCACCACACCAGCCCTCTGCAATGTCCAACACAAACGAATCAGATCGATACATAACCATAACAACGGTAAAAAGACTATGCAATCACACCTTATGAGCTTAAACCTGTCAAAATCGTTGAGTGAGGCCATCGTCTTCTGCATGATCAACTTCCTTTCTCAGAAACTGGACTCACACTTGGTCTTTTACATCTGCGAGGACATAAAGCAAATGAGAGTTAATCAAGTTCTTACGTAACCCTGTCGTTAGCCAAATGACTCAAATTTACCAATTTTTTTTGGCTGATGTAAAACCGTTTTTGCTAATTAGAATTCAAATTTGCATACTGCAATTCAATGAACTTACACGTATCTAGAATCTCTAGCTCAGCCACTGTTTGTATTACTGAGGGGACTAATAAACACATAGTCTAGCCACTTTAGTATTTAGTATTGTAACTTTACTGTTGCAAAGAGTAAGCTTAGTAGTGACGATCCCTCATATTAACCTCGAAATTTTGTGATGAACTGAAAATCAGAAAGTAACACAAGATGTTGTTCTATCTTTATGAAAAAGATTAGAAAGATGTGATACTCTACTTCTTTTTAAGCTTTGTATTATAATTGATGGAATTTATTTTCTGTATGATAGTTTTGTTTTGCTTAGAAAAAAAATGGGAGTAGATGTGTAACATATGGATAAAGACAATGAAAAGACAAAAGCATAACAACCCAAATTTGACTAAAGAATGATAACATTATCTATTATAAAATTGAACACACAAAGTGTGAATAATAGTTTAGGGGAAAAATGGGAGTAGACGTGTAACACATGGATAAATATAATAAAAAGACAAAAGCACAACAACCCAAATTTTTGACTAAAGAATGACAATAAAAAGACAAAAGCACAACAACCCAAATACTATGAACCTGAAACAAAAAACTCAAAACATGATGATGGTTTCCAGTAAAATCTTCTCTTTACTTCAGTTTTTCGCTCTTTTAAATCTCTTTACAGTTACTTTTGCTTCGACTGAGGAAGCAACTGCCCTCTTGAAATGGAAAGCAACTTTCAAGAACCAGGATAATTCCTTATTGGCTTCATGGACGCAAAGTTCTAATGCATGCAGGGACTGGTATGGAGTTATATGCTTTAATGGTAGGGTAAAAACGTTGAATATTACAAATTGCGGTGTCATTGGTACACTCTATGCTTTTCCGTTTTCATCTCTCCCTTTTCTTGAGAATCTTAATCTTAGCAACAACAATATCTCTGGCACCATTCCACCTGAGATTGGTAATCTCACTAATCTTGTCTATCTTGACTTGAACAACAATCAGATTTCAGGAACAATCCCACCACAAACCGGTTCACTATCAAAGCTTCAGATCCTCCGTATATTTGGCAACCATTTAAAGGGCTCTATTCCTGAAGAAATAGGTTACCTAAGGTCTCTTACCGATCTATCTTTGAGTACTAACTTTCTTAACGGTTCTATTCCTGCTTCGTTGGGGAATTTAAACAACTTGTCTTTTTTGTCTCTTTATGATAATCAACTTTCTGGCTCTATTCCTGAAGAAATAGGTTACCTAAGGTCTCTTACCGATCTATATTTGAGTACTAACTTTCTTAACGGTTCTATTCCTGCTTCGTTGGGGAATTTAAACAACTTGTCTTTTTTGTCACTTTATGATAATCAACTTTCTGGCTCTATTCCTGAAGAAATAGGTTACCTAAGGTCTCTTACCGATCTATATTTGAGTACTAACTTTCTTAACGGTTCTATTCCTGCTTCATTGGGGAAGTTAAACAACTTGTCTTTTTTGTCTCTTTATGATAATAAACTTTCTGGCTCTATTCCTGACGAAATAGGTTACCTAACTTCTCTTACCGATTTATATTTGAATAATAACTTTCTAAACGGTTCTATTCCTGCTTCACTGTGGAATTTGAAGAACTTGTCTTTTTTGTCTCTTAGTGAAAATCAACTTTCGGGCTCTATTCCTCAAGAAATAGGCTACCTAAGGTCTCTTACTAACCTTCATCTAAATAATAACTTTCTTAATGGTTCAATTCCTCCTGAAATAGGTAACCTATGGTCTCTTAGTATCATAGATTTGAGTATTAACTCCCTTAAGGGTTCTATTCCTGCTTCATTGGGGAATTTGAGAAATGTGCAAAGTATGTTTCTTGATGAAAACAATCTCACCGAGGAAATTCCTTTATCTGTGTGCAATTTGACATCACTCAAAATTTTGTACTTGCGGAGAAACAACTTGAAGGGAAAAGTTCCGCAATGTTTGGGTAATATCAGTGGCCTCCAGGTTTTGACGATGTCACGTAATAACCTTAGTGGAGTGATCCCTTCATCTATTTCCAATTTAAGATCACTACAAATACTGGATTTGGGAAGAAATAGTCTGGAGGGAGCAATACCACAATGTTTTGGCAATATTAATACCCTTCAGGTTTTTGATGTGCAGAACAACAAACTTTCTGGGACTCTTTCAACAAATTTTAGCATTGGAAGTTCACTTATAAGTCTGAATTTGCATGGCAATGAACTAGAGGGGGAAATCCCTCGATCTTTGGCCAATTGCAAAAAGTTGCAAGTTCTTGATCTAGGAAATAATCATCTCAATGACACATTCCCCATGTGGTTGGGAACTTTGCTAGAGTTGAGAGTTTTAAGATTGACGTCGAATAAACTCTATGGACCCATAAGATCTTCAGGGGCTGAAATCATGTTTCCTGATCTTCGAACCATAGATCTCTCTAACAATGCCTTCTCGAAAGACTTACCAACGAGTTTGTTTCAACACTTAGAAGGCATGAGGACAATTGATAAAACAATGAAGGTACCAAGTTATGAAGGATATGGAGACTACCAAGACTCGATAGTTGTTGTATCAAAGGGATTGAAGCTTGAAGTTGTGAGAATTTTGTCTTTGTACACAGTTATCGATCTTTCAAACAACAAATTTGAAGGACATATTCCTAGTGTTCTAGGAGATCTCATTGCTCTTCGGGTGTTGAATATGTCTCACAATGGATTGAAAGGTCATATACCACCATCGCTTGGAAGTTTATCTGTAGTGGAATCATTAGACCTTTCGTTTAACCAGCTTTCAGGAGAAATACCACAACAACTTGCTTCTCTTACGTCTCTTGGATTCTTAAATCTCTCCCACAATTATCTCCAAGGATGCATCCCTCAAGGGCCTCAATTTCGTACCTTTGAGAACAATTCATATGAAGGTAATGATGGATTACGTGGATATCCAGTTTCAAAAGGTTGTGGCAATGATCCTGTGCCAGATACAAACTATACAGTATCTGCTCTAGACGATCAAGAAAGCAATTCAGAATTTCTCAATGATTTTTGGAAAGCTGCTCTGATGGGCTATGGCAGTGGACTATGTATTGGATTATCCATAATGTATTTCATGATCTCAACTGGAAATCCGATATGGCTTGCAAGAATCATTGATGAAATGGAACACAAAATTAACACGCGAAGGAGAAAGAAGCAGCAAGGTCAAAGGAATCACAGAAGAAGAAATAATCATTTCTAGACAAGTTACCAATAGCGAAAAAGGATCTGATTTCCGAACTTCAGGTTTTCAAGCTAAGCTCAACACAAATCTTTTTTAGTTTATTCTACTACTAATATGCTTGGTTTTATGCTTTTATGTTATAAACAACAACTAATTCATGCTCGATACGAAGCATATTTTTCTTTCCAACAACTTCAAGAAGCTGAAGATTAAGCCTTAGCTGATGTTTTAAGCTAGTAATCAGTTGGAAGTTGTGATAACATAGTGATTGATATGTAATGTACAGTTGTTTGACTCACTATCTCATTTTTCAGATTTTCAAATGCCAAGAATAAGAACGCATTGGCGTAATGGATTTGGTTCTTCCTACAGCATATGATGTTGGATTTGATTTTTAGTTTCTTTTAAACTTGGAAAATGTAATGTTATGAATTTTGACAATGTATAAAGTTTATGCAAGGCGAAGTGTTAAAACAGTTTTACCTCTGGTGGCATGAGTCAGTTTTCTTCTACTCTCATAAAGCACCTCTGTCAAAAAAAAAAAAAAAAAAGATCATAACTTTAGCTCAATCTTGTGAAGAATCAAACACCAAGAATGATAAAAACTCAAATCTTGTGTTAAGTTTTCAACAATCATAGAGTGCGCACAGACCTTTACCCCTACCTCGAGATAATCTCAATCAGTCACTTCAAAATATATGAATCATATATATATGTATTATAAGGTAAACAAAGAAAAGGGGTTCTTCAAAAGTTAAAGTTTTGATGAAATAATGAATTTTAAGTTTTTTTTTATATATATACATTAGATTTTATATAATTTGTACAATATTTGGCCACATCTTTTTTTTTTAACCCAAGAATAATCTGCAGTCGCTATAAACTCTGCCGTTCGGGTGAACACTAGAATAATCTGCAGTCGCTATAAACTCTGCCGTTCGGGTGAACACTTTGTGCGCGCTGGGTAAATCCATGTGTAATAGCTTACAAACTACACTGAAAATGTAAATCACACTAGACAAGCCCTGTGCTACAGACTCGACTCAGAAGGCATTAAGCTGAAAATGTAAATCACACTAGACAAGCCCTGTGCTACAAACTCGACTCAGAAGGCATTAAGGGGATCATCCAGTGAATAACCACCTATTCATCCAAACCAACTAAGACATCCTAAAGGACCTAACTATAAATTCTAACACACCATATATAGTGGTTTTTGATTAGCAATTAAGAATCCCATATCACTAAATTTAAATTGCAACGATATTTAAGTACTATCATCTTATTTAATAAGATAATTCCAAACATAACTAATACTGTACATGAAATAGTTGATTCATGTGTAACAATTTTTCTTTTTCAACTCCACTAGTGAAGTATAAATTATACTGAAATATATAAACGTTGTTGTGAATACGATTTCTGAACAATGAATTTCAAATGAAAGAGAGTTTTGATAGTGTAGGTAGACAAGCATTCTCTGAAACAAACAGTTCACCATTCATAGATCAGAAAAATAATTTCCCAGCAAAGTCTAAAACAAGCAAAAATGGAAAGGCGAATTAAAAAAAAAAAAGATAAATATATTCCCAAAAGTAAAAATACAACTTCCAAAATTGCTTTGAATCAATGTTTCACTACTTGAAAAAGTTCTTAAGCTGCAACCTCCTTTTTAAGCTTTGCAAGCTCCTGTCTCACCACACCAGCCCTCTGCAACGTCCAACGTAAACGAAAAATATCAGTACATAACCACCACATCAGTAAAAAGATTATGCAATTTAAAAGTAAATATAGTGAGTTTCTGGACATGCGACGGTTAGAATTGGGACATAATGCAGTCTAACACAACATGCATGACATCTCTCTACCTTGATCATCTTGTGATATTATATGGAGTATGTTGTAGTGAAAACCTATTCTTTTAGCTTTTTCAAGTAAAACCCGCATAAAGTTTTTGATGAATGGGCTAAATGAACTGAGAATCAAAAGAAGTTAACTCAAATACAAATGAAATCGCACCTTAATCTTTGCCAACATGAGCTTAAACCTATCAAAATCGTTGAGTGAGGCCCTCCTCTTCTGCACGATCAACTTCCTTCCCCAGGAGCTGGACTCCCACTTGGTCTTCACATCTGGGAGGGGACATACAGCAAATGAGAGTCAAGTCAACCTTACAAGCTTTTCTTACAAATATAAGATATAAAAGGAGCTGCTAAAGTATATCTACTACAAATTGTCTATAAGAGATTATGTAGCCACACTTACCAGCAGCCTCCATAGCAGCAATCAGGGTCTTCTTCTTTGGAATTCTCTTGATGTCGATCTTGACATCTGTGAGGGAAAGCCTCTTGAAGTTCATCTGGCTCCTCACCATGTCAGGAGCATCAACAAGAGCCTATGAATTTAAACAGATTGGAAAATTATTAGGATACATAAAACTCATAATTTCGTCATTTTCCAAAGTGAAATCTTGTCTATCAATTAAGCAGTGCCTACCATCTGGCCAAATTAAAAGTAAAGTCAACACTCCAAAGTAACCATGTGATTGAGTAAGCATGAAAATAGAAAGAAAAAAAAAGCAAATAAGATGTGCTGAAGTGATGTGAAAATTTTCACCAGAAAACTAGTTTAGGGCAACAAGTGAACAAGTTGTTATCACATATTGGACATCACCCTTCTAGAACTGTGCCACCTATACTAAAATTTCTCTTTGATTAACACAAAAACCATTAAAATCACTGGACCCAGCAATCAAGAGTTCTACAACTGTGTAAAGGCAAAGGTTCCCCATTTTTCATACATTTTTTATTTGAAAGGTAAAGCCCTCCACTCCCAGACTATCAACATCTCAATCTGAAAAGAACATAGTAGTCAGAAACGTGACAACCCCTATGGTATTAGTAACAGATTGTAACAGCAAAAGAGAAATATTAAACACTAGGTATTAGTAACAGATTGCCACAGCAAAACAGACATACTAAACAATAATAAGGCTCACTTCAACTCAACAGAACTTCATTCAACAGCCTGCGCTAAAACTGCCTTGGCAACAAAGACGGATATTCAAAACAATATCTGGTCTGGAACTGCTAATTTCATAGTCACAAATTACTCTTCCTGAATCCATATACAAGGCCTCAGACAATATTGCTCAATCAAGTTAATAAGATCAGACAATGTAGGCATATATAATGTTCCATCATAGGCCATAAAACAGATCCTTCACGAAGAAAATTAGCAAAGCTATAGAGATCCAATCTTTCTTCTAAAAGATGTGACTGGCAGTTCCAGACCGTAAAAGTTGCATTCGTGCTTAGACCAAGCAATAAACCTATGTCCACCCAAATCCCAATCTAGTGGGGATATACTATATGCATTCCACTCTATTCATCCATAGGACTTACAGATAGCAACTATAACCAGATGGGAAGTAAAAAATAAAATGATAACCCAGCTTCCCTTAAAATATGTGACAAGAATTTCCAAAACATTAAAGTTGCATCCCAATCTAGTCGGGACGTACTATATGCATTCCACTCTATTCAACCATTGGACTTGCAGATAACGTCTATAAACAGATGGAAAGTAAAATGAAAACTAGCACGTTGGTTGCAAAAAAAAAAAAAAAAAACTTCCCCTGAAATATGTGACCAGCATTTCCAGAGCATAAAATTGCATCCATGCTAAAATTAAACAACCCGCTACACCTAAATCCAAACTAGTTAAAGTTAGTTAAAGTTAGCTATACGAATCCGGTTTATCCATTCCACTCGAATCAAGCAACACTCTACCAAAAGATAGAAATAGGTGTTCTATAAGGTGGCATATACTTTAGAGTTAGAAAACTCAGTCTCTGAAATTTTGATGGGATCTCAACTCCGAACCACCCTCTGATAGCTAGATGTTGACTTATGCTGTTCAGTTGGGTTACTTTAACCCCTGGATTTAGCACTTAACGACTTCTTGACTTTGTCAGCTATCTAGTAGTACTAGTTTGAAGATTGTAAAAGGACCAACACCTTCTGCTTATGCTCAATGTGAGCCCTTTTGTCTATTATGCTATTCTGCATCTGTTTGATTCTTTTTAATGAAATACCTTACTTAATCGTAAAAAAATCAGTTTTCACAGATTTCTGCATAAAGCTCGGTTATATTTGCATTTTTTAAGAATTATAAAAGAAAATGGATTAACAACTAATTTGAACATCATGAAATAGCTCAAAGCCTCAAACACACACTTCTCTTGCAAAAGCTCAACAATTGAGCCTGCAAAATAATTTTTTGGTGAAATCTAAATAAAATGCTACCTAATGTGCTCCAAATCACCGATCACACTACACTAGATCTCTAACAAATCAAAAGTAAACTCAAATGGAAATACCCTGCTAAAATCAAGCACTGAAACAAAATAAAAAATATAAAAAGTACCCTGTTTTGGTCGATAACGTCAACAATGACGACGAGCCTCCCATAGTCCTCCCCGTAGTTAACGAGTGCAACTCTTCCGATCTCCACAAACCTCTTGAACGGCTGAACAACAAAATTAAATACAATTTCTTTTCAAATTTCACAAAAAAAAAAAAAAAAAACCATAGTGATACCGAACATACGTAACAGTGAAAACAGGTGAATTAGAGAAATCAGAAAACTGAAAATTCACAAAAACTCACCATTTTTACTGATCTGAAGGAGCTGTGAAGCTGCGAAAAAAGAGTGAGACGAAAGAGAGGATTGTGTTAGGGTTTACATTGAGGGGATTATAGTGCTAGGGTTTTTGTTGCTTCGGGTAATGGGCCACTAAAGTATGATATGGGCTTAGGCCCAAAATCTTCATAAGGAAAGCTATGTAAATTAATACATTTTAAAAAATAATTACTGATTTTAGCGATATTTTTTATTTATTATCATTTATAGCAATATTTTGTTAAATCTGTAATATATATTAAAAGTGAATTATGTATGCAATATATATGAATTATAATTATTTTTTGAATTATATCATGTTTGTTTGGTAAAAAATTGTCACATTGTATTATAAGTGTATTAAAATGTTGATAATTGTATTATTCATCATTAAAATTTGTATTATATGTGAATAATAAATTATTATTTGTAATATGTATTAAACTTGTATTATAGATGAATTAAAAGTGATCAAGTGAAAAAAATATTATTGCTATAAATGGTAACTATTTTTTTATTATAGTATATTTATGTAAATTTCCCAAATTGATAATTACAATGTAGATGGGTTGGTTTGGTGGGGTGGGGGACGGGGCGGTGAGTAGGGGTGTCAAATGGGCAAATTGAATTGAAATTGGAGATATTAAAATGGGTTGAGATAGAAATCGGATTGGATTTTCACCCGCTCAAGTTTACTTTGGGCTCAAATAGGTTGGGTTCAAATAGGCTAAAAAACGGATTGGGTCTATATCATCCAATTTGACCAGATTAATCTCAATAATTTTAACATATT